AAAGATCATTAAACATGAATCAATATAAAATTTTGAATTAGATATTTTACATTTCTTTAACTCTCCAAAATCTGGTAACTAGTTTATATTTACAGCATTTGCTAAATTTTCGTCAGTAAAATGATCTGTATTTAGATTTCATAAAATTTGCAGTTGAAAAAGTAGATTCATGTGCCCAAGTTGTTCCAAACATCCTTTAACATTTTCCAATATCTGAAATGGGTATCACTTTTTTTTGTTGTTGAGACAAGAGTCTTTCTCTGTTGCCCCAGCTGGAGTGCGATGCTGCAATCTCGGCTCATTGCAACCTCCACCTCCTGGGTTCGAGAGATTCCCCTGACTCAGCCTCCTGAGTAGCTGGGACTACAGGTGCCTTCCACCATGCCCAGCTAACTTTTGTATTTTTAGTCGAGATGGAGTTTCATCATGTTGGCCAGATAGTCTTGAACTCCTGACCTTGTGATCTGCCTGCCTTGGCCTCCCAAAGTGCTCGGATTACAGGCATGAGCCACCTCGTCTAGCTGAGTATCATTTTTTAAACTTAAATGACTTAAATGTATATTAATTAAAATTAAAAATTTTTTTGAGTTAGTGTCTCGCTCTGTCATCTGAGCTGGAGTGCAGTGGCACAATCTCGGCTCACTGCAACTTTTGCCTCCCGGGTTCAAGTGATTCTCCAGCCTCAGCCTCCTGAGTAGCTGGTATTAACAGGTGCCTGCCACCATGCCCAGGTAAGTTTTATATTTTTAGTAGAGACAGGGATTCTCCTTGTTGGCCAAGTTGGTCTCGAACTCCTGACCTCAGGCGATTTGCCTGCCTCAACCACCCAAAGTGCTGGGATTACAGGAGTGAGCCACTGCGCCCGGCCAATTAAATAAAATGTAAAGTGCAGCTCCTCAGCAGCGCTAGGTATATGTCAAGCACTCAACAGCCACACATGGCCCATGGCCTCCATGTTGGAAGGCACAGCTGTGAGCTGTATAGCCTTGTCTGGCATGAGGGTTGGATGGGTAGGAGAGGGAGGCTGGAGTCCAAGAGGCCAGTGGGAAAACTCCATAGCCAACTAGGGACCAGCTATGGAAGAGAAGGGTGGGGAAAACAGAGACAGGCAGGCCTGGGCCCACCTAAAAAATGAGACAGGATCCCCAGCCATGACGCCCACCAAGCTACACGGGTCTGGCCCACTAGCTCACAAGAGGAGTATCCACGGTGGGCTCTTCCTACTAAGGAAGTGATGGCCCCAGACTCTTGGGTAGAGCTCCTGTGCCCTCCTACACTACTACAAAGGGATCTGGGGGAATGTATGATGCTGGATCTGAGCAGGCTCCAGCTCTGTGAGTGGAGTGATCTTCCTCTTATCTCTCCCATCTGTGGGCAGTTGGGGTGGTCCTGGTTAAGCAACTCTGAAGTCAGATACACCTGGGTTCCAACCCCAGCTCAGCTAATTCCTTACTGTGTGACCTTGGATAAGTCAAATCTCCTCTCTGAGCCTCAGTTTCCTCATCTGGAAAATGAAGACAAATAATGAAATATTGTAAGACTCTAATGATATCTGGAGAGTGCCCAGCCCAATCAATCAAATGATCAATTAACAATCACTGTTCTTCCCAGGTAATGTCCTTTTCCTGTTAAAATCAGGAAAGTAAGCCAGGCGTAATGGCCCACCCCTAGAATCCCAGCTATTAATATTTAGGAAGCTGAGGCAGGAGGATAACTTGAGCCCAGGAATCCAGCCTGGGCAACGTAGTGAGACCCCATCTCTACAAAAACATTAAAAAATTAAAAATTATTTCAGAATAGAAAAATAGATTGGAGAATGTTGGTGATTGGAAAGGAGAGGGCGGAGGTGAGATGAAGGGGGTTAATTCCCATAGTGGAGGGTCCCCTTCTAGGACTCCCCCATCTTTCCTGCTGGGGATCCTGCCTCAATTTTAGGTGGACCCAGGCCTGCCTGTCTCTGTTTCCCCCCCTTCCCTCCAATAGACTTGGTTAATCAGCAGGGGTGGGGAGGGGCCCGCTGCTCCCAGAAGCCGTAGGTGCTGGAGCATGAGGTAAGAATGGCCAAGAGCCACCTTCCAGAAATGGGGAGAATGACTCAAACGGAATCAGGAGTGGGTGAGGTCACCCTGGGTACCTGGAGTTACTCAGAGTGACACTGATACATGCCTGGCAGGAGCGATGGATGAGCGAGACTCCAGGAAAGCAGGTGGGGCTAGAAACCACCCAAGACAAGGACACTGCTGGGTTTGAAACTCCAGGTGAGCAGAGTACAGCCTGAGAGCAGCGGCAGAGGCTGAAAGTGGGCTTGGTCCGGGTGTTTTTGAGGGTGGGGTAACTCCAACTCTCCCCCACTGAGTCAGCACCCCACTTAAGCCAAAGATAGTGAGATCTGTGACCTCAGCTTCGCCCACTGCAACTCCACAGTCCCCAAACCTTTGCTCTGCTGGGTCCTCCCAAGTGTGAGAGCTGACACAGCCCTGAGCAGCCCACTGTCCTCTGCCCTGCCAAGTCTTCTAACTCTTGTCACCTTGTCCTACATCATTTCTTCCCTTGTCTGGCACCCCCTCCTGGAATTGGTGCCCCAGAGGTGGGAAAAACCTACCCAGCTCACTGCTCTATCTCCAGAGCATAGCTCAGACTCTGGCATATGTGAGTGCTTGGTAGAAACTTGATGGGGTATTAAAGTTGAGAGCTGGGTGGGTTCTCATTGCATTTCTAACACTCCTTAGGTGGCTTTGGGCCCACGCCTCTGAGCCTTGTTTCCACATCTGTAAAGTGGCAAACCATCGCCATGAAGAACTGGGAAGAACCAGGTCACAAGGCAGGGAGGATGAAGCATCCAGCCTGTTCTACCAAGTTTCCGATGGCTAATCCTTCAGGTGCAGCTTGTAAGCAGGTCAATTACAGAATAGGAAACTGAGGTACAATGAAGTCATGATTAGAAGATTGCCCAGGGGGACCAGTCAAGGCCTCCCTAACACCCTGCAAGCCCTTCTAGGAGCTCTGGTTACGTCACTCTCATTCAGTCCACCTGGGAGGTGCTGTGTAAGTTGGCCCTCCCCACTCTGCTTCCTCTTTGAGGTGACTCCTAGTGGTAGGCAAGTGATGGAAAACAGCAGAGATGGCTGCCTCTGGTGTTGGGGTCTACAGTCGAAGAGCCCGGCGTCGGGGGGGCATTCATCATCCATAAGTATCCACTTAACTCTCACTATACTCCAAGAGGGAGGCAGTCCAGCCTAGTGGCCTAGTGGTGAGATGCTCCCACTGTGGAGTCAGGCTGGTGTTGGCCTTAGGACAGTCCTTCCTTTTTTTTTTTTGAAACCAAGTCTCACTCTGTCACCCAGGCTGGAGTGCAGCGGCGCAATCTCGGCTCACTGCAACCTCCGACTCCTGGGTTCAAGCAATTCTCCAGCTTCAGCCTCCCGAGTAGCTGGGATTAACAGGTGCCTGCTGCCATGCCCAGCTAAGTTTTGTATTTTTAGTAGAGACATGGATTCTCTTTGTTGGCCAGGCTGGTCTCGAACTTCTGACCTCAGGCGATCTGCCCGCCTCGGCCTCCCAAAGCACTGGGATTACAGTTGTGAGCCACTGCGCCCGGCGTGGGGCAGTCCTTCCTAAGCCCTAGTGTCTTACCCAAAAAGATGCCTTAGAGCCCCACTTACTATCAACACTCAACAAACAGCATGTGTTGTTAGTTTTTGTCTGTTTTGAAACAGAGTCTCACTCTGTAGCCCAGGCTAGAGTGCAGTGGTGCAATCATGGCTCACTGCAGCCTTGATCTCCTGGGCTCAAGTGATCCTCCCACCTCAGCCTCCCAAATTGCTGGGATTACAGGCATGAGCCACTGTGCCCGGCCAGTTTTTTAGCCTGTCAGCTCTGTGAGGAACACTTATTATGGTCATTGACCCTTAGTACATGCTCAGGTGGATGGATGAATGAGTGGAAGAGAGGAAGGAAGAGAAAGTAGGAGGGAGAAGAGGAAGAATGAAGGAAAGGTTGAGTTTGTTCTGGAAGCTCCCAGCTTCCATTCCTACCACACTCTCCCTCTGCTCCCAACACACCAGGGAACTGACTCAAGGCTCTCCTCTTACCAGGTGCTTCGTGGGGTTCAGAGAGAAGAGCCAATCTGAAATGGGGCACTGGTCTGAACCCTGGACCTGCAGCTTGCCATTGACTGAACTTAGCCGCTTAACTATTCTCCCCTGTAAAATGGGAGTGATCATAGCAACTACTTCGCTGAATTGTAGGAAGACCAAAAGATGTATATGAATACATTTGTTAACTAAAGAGTGTTAGGGATTCTCCAGGGTAGGGATAGGCAGTGCAGGCTCTGGGACCAGACTTGTGTTCACATCCCTGCTCCACTGCTTGGAGACCTTTGGCAAAGTCCTTAACTCCTCTGGGCTTTAGTTTTCTCATCTGTAAAACAGGGATTATACTAGTTCCTATCTCATAGAGTTGTTATAAAGATTAATGAGATAATGCATGAGAAGCTTTTGAATCAGTGCACAGCACAGATTAGGTGATCAGTCAGTGGTGTCCATGATCAAGTGCCTGATATGTGCCTGCTGTCAGGACAGATGCTGTGAACTACTTCACACTAAAATGTTAATGAATGACCAGATCTACGATGCTTGGGTGAGTGTGGAGGCTCAGGCCTGTGATCCCAGCACTTTGGGCGGCCAAGGCAAGTGGATCGCCTGAGGTCAGGAGTTTGAGACCAGCCTGGCCAACATGGCAAAATCCTGTCTCTACTAAAAATACAAAAATTAGCCTGCATGGTGTCTGGCATCTGTAATCTCAGCTACTTGGGAGGCTGAGGCAGGAGAATCACTTGAACCCAGCGGGTAGAGGTTGCAGTGAGCTGTGATCACACCACTTCACTCCAGCCTGGGCGACAAGAGTGAAACTCTGTCTCAAAAAAAAAAAAAGATGATCTACTATTCTCTCTCTCTCTCTCTCTCTCTCTCTCTCTCTCTCTCTCTCTCTCTCCTCTCTCTCTCTCTCTCTCTCCCCTGGGGGCATATGAATCTTAACAGGAATAAAAGAAGTGAAACCCCATCTCCCCATCTAATTATGGGATTTAAAAAGTAAAACAGGCATACAGGGGGTAGGCGAGGGCCTTCCTAGGGTCCCTCAAAATCACAACTGCTGTCCACTGCACAAATCCTGCCTGGTCCCAGAGAGGGACCACACACAGGGGAAGGGAGAACATAGTGCCAGTCCCCGAGGAAGCTCGCCTCTGCTGGAGAAACAGGAGGCAGCTGGCCCCCAGGACACTGCATCACTCCAGCTAAACCCAGAGGCCCTTCCATGGCGGCAGTGGCCCAGCCTGAAGCAATCAGAAGGGCTTCAAGGACCCTCCAGGGAGCAAAAGAAGCCCAGGTCAGGGGATGGGAACAGGCACCAGATGTGGCACCAAGAAATGTTCTAGTGGGTGTCAGGATTATTTTTCATTATCCTCAGAATTTGATCAAACCCATTTATTATTATTATTATTATTATTATTACTACTAAGATGGAGCTTTGCTCTTGTTCCCCATGCTGGAGTGCAGCGGTGCCATCTCCGCTCACTGAAACCTCTGCCTCCCAGGTTCAAGAGCTTCACTTTCCAATCCATTTCTCCCTGACTGGCACCTGTAGTAGAAGGTACAGAGGGAGTCAGGAGGTGGGCTCTGAAGCCCTGGCATTGGGACATTATCAATGGGCACTCATCGATATCTCTTCAATTCCTCCTTTGGGGAAACCCTCTTCCCTCCTTCCCTTTCAGCCCATTGGAGCAGGGGAGGCTGCAGGTGTGGGGCCTGTGAACAGACTTGCCAATCAACACGGGATTATTCCTGCCCTGCCCCTGGTATCTGTGTGGTCATGTGACCCCAATTGTCCAGTTAGAGTGAAACCCGGGATGTGTGTCACAATTCCCAAGGACAGAGCCTCTTTTCTACTCCACTAGAACTTGGGATGATGAGCCCCTGCAGCTGCAGCAACGCTCATGGAGCACAAATCCTTCCTAAGAGGGCAAAGGCAAAGGAGAAAGACTCTGGGATACGAGTCTTCATGACGTCGTGGCATCTCCAGATCAAGTCAGGCCTGCAGTTCTCAGGTTCCTGAGCCAGTAGATTCCCTTTTTAGCACAAACCAGTTTGAGTCAGGTTTTCCGGCAGTTGCATCATTAAGAGTCTGACATTTGACCAGGCGCGGTGGCTCACGCCTGTAATCCCAGCATTTTGGGAAGCCGAGGCAGGCGGATCACCTGAGTTAGGGAGTTCGAGACCAGACTGACCAACATAGAGAAACCCCCTTTCTACTAAAAATACAAAATTAGCCGAGTGTGGTGGTGCATGCCTGTAATCCCAGCTACTCAGGAGGCTGAGGCAGGAGAATTGCTTGAACCGGGGAGGCAGAGGTTGCAGTGAGCCGAGGTCGCGCCATTGTACTCCAGCCTGGGTGACAGCAAGACTCCATCTCAAAAAAAAGTCTGACATTCACATGGTGAACCTTCTTAACCTCTCTGAACTTGTTTTCTCATCTGCAAAATGGGAATGAGAACATAATTTTTTTTAGGAGAAAGGGTTGTTCTGCGATAATTTTTTTTTTTTTTTTTTTTTGAGATGTAGTTTCGCTCTTGTTACCCAGGCTGGAGTGCAATGGCGCGATCTCGGCTCACCGCAACCTCCGCCTCCTGGGTTCAGGCAATTCTCCTGCCTCAGCCTCCTGAGTAGCTGGGATTACAGGCACGCGCCACCATGCCCAGCTAATTTTTTGTCTTTTTAGTAGAGACGGGGTTTCACCATGTTGACCAGGATGGTCTCGATTTCTGGACCTCGTGATCCACCCGCCTCGGCCTCCCAAAGTGCTGGGATTACAGGCGTGAGCCACCACGCCCGGCCTGTTCTGCGATAATTAAAAGGGTCGGCCAGGGTCCAACACTTAACATAGGGCCCAATGCCCCATAAGGCTCAAAAAAAATCAGCTCTCAGGTGCTCCATAAATGTTGGAAAATTACTAGGCAGGCAGCTCTGGCCCCTGAGGTGAACTGTGAGGGCATCTTGACAAAAGCCTCTTCCTGTGACTCTGTGAAAACCCTGTTATGGGGGGGCACGCCTGCAGGGTGGCACCAAGAAATGTTCTAGTGGGCGTCAGGATTATTTTTCATTATCCTTAGAATTTGATCAAACCCATTTATTATTATTATTATTATTATTATTACTAAGACGGAATTTCGCTCTTGTTCCCCACGCCGGAGTGCAGTGGCGCCATCTCGGCTCACCGCAACCCCTGCTGCCCAGGTTCAGGCGATTCTCCTGCCTCAGCTTCCGGAGTAGTTGGGATTACCGGCAGATGCCACCAGGCCTGGCTAATTGATCAAACCCATTTTACAGATGAGGAAATGAGGCTTAGAGATTAGGTCCAGTCTAATGCCAAGTTCAGCCACTGTCCTGGTTCAGGCCCTCGGCTGCAACACATCTGCCCCAAGTGGGTCACGCCTTGCCAGGCCTCAACCCCAACTAGGCTAAGCTAAATGGTCTGTTCTTCTTAAACGGGGTCCAGAGGGAACCTCAACCTGTTTTGAAAGGACAAGGAGTTAGAAACACTTTCTCCTTCCTTCCCCTGAGGGGTGGGCTCCATCTTCTTTCTTTCTTTTTAGAGAAGGGGTCTCCCTATCTTGCCCAGGCTGGTCTCCAACTGCTGGTCTCAAGCGATCCTCCCTCCTTGACCTCCCAAAGTGATGGGTTTAAAATGAGAGCCACGCGCCCTGCCTCCATGTTCTTTAATCCGCTGTACCTGGCCCGGGGACCTCTGCCGATAAAGCTCAGTTTCCCCTTTCTGATGTCTTGGAGTGAAGGCGCTGTTACCAGTTCGCGGCGGTTAACCCCACGGAGACAGCCTGACGCAGATTTGCTACAGGAAACCACACAGTCTCACGGCTTGGCACGAACCCTTCCTTCCGGGCCGGCCAGGATGCCTGCGGGTGGGGGTGGGCGCGGCACCTCCTACTTCCCCCCCCAGATAACCACCAACCGGCCACATCATTCTCATGTCTGGGAACTGAGCTCACTCCGGGCTTTTCCTACGTAGCCCACTTCAAACTGTTTCCTCATCTGCAAAATGGGCACAAGTATAGCATCCACCTATTTCAGGGTCGTTTTGAGGGAATTTTGGAGAGAAAGCTAGGGTTTTCAGCACACGGATAGGCACAAAGTATAAGTTCGCCGCTCCTCCCCCACTCCCCGCCCCAGCCGAGACAGGAAGGCTCGCGTGCACTAGGCCACAGGCGGAGTTTGCACAGGGTTCCATGCAACTCCGAGCCCAGGGTCCTTCCACTGCCCGAGCTCAGTCTTCAGCCAGTGGGACCCTTCCACCCCCTTCCTTAATATATTCCTCCTCTGCCTCCTCCCCGCCTGCATGGCAACCGCCTCCGCCAGGCGGTCCTCGGAAACGTCCGGGCCGCAGCCCCGGCCCTCCCGGGCGGCCAGAGTGGCCTCCTCCCTCGGTTCCCTCCAGCTCCGCGCCTCCCTAGCTTTGCCCGAGGCGCGCCCCGCGAGCGCGACCCTGACTCCAATCCCAAGCCACGGCTGCGCCACGCGGGAAGGCCACGAGGAGCGGAAGGGGGGGCCCGCGGGTCTCCCTGCCGGACTCGGGGAGACTCATCACCCGCTAATCCCTCAACTGGGTCGCACCAGGTCTGCCTTGGTTGGTCTCTTCTGCTGGAGGAGGAGGGACCTCGGCTTGGTGACCAGTGAGGAGGCTCGCGGGGTGCTCTCGGCTGCCATGGCAACGGAGCGGCCGCCCGCTTCCTCACGGGGTGGAGCCTGCTCTCCCAGGACCGTCCATATCGCGGTCACATGCTGTGGCCCCAATCCTAAATTAGCATAAGGTGGAGACTGACCTACAGGGTCGGAAGTTGAGGAACAACTAGGACCTGTAAACCCTTGACAAATGCCTACAGTGTAGACAAGTCCCAGCACGTCCAAAATAGATAAGAGGAGGCTGCCTGGAGAGGGACACGGTGAGGAGGGTCTGCTGAAACGGACAAAGAAACCACTTGAGGGCCGTGGAGTGGACTAGGCACGGCGGGGGCAGGGCACAGAGTGGGGTCGGTGCTTAGCAAGCAGATTAGGGTTTTCAAGCCAAGACCCACCCAGGGCAGGGTGGAGAACCAAGGAGAGCAGCTGCGCTGAACTGTGGGTCTCACACTGTCCTTCAGTCTCCCGGAGGAAGAGGGAGCCAAGGATCGCCAAGGTCATTCCCTTGCCTCAGGCAGCTGCACCCCACCTTAGGTACAGTCATGTCCGGTCTTGAGCATTCATTAACCTCGTATTCTTCCCAGGAAGAGGAAGGTGACCAGGTTTATTGTCCCCATTTCATAAATGAGAAAACTGATGCCTGCCTGCTCAAGTAGCTCAGCCTTGGGCCCTGGGGCCTTTCCAAGGAAGCCCCAGCCCGCAGTTCTGACTCTGCCCACCTTTGCTGATGGTGCAGGGATGCCAGGGCCAACTGAGCCCCATGTTGAACGAGGCAGGTGAGTTGGGGTCAGAACCCTGCCCCCCACATCTGATAGCCCTGGGTGGGGATGTGTCTGACTCCCTCCTCAGTCACTCTGGGAGGGAGTTCAGTGTTGCCCCACGCTCGTGGCCTCCAGAAGCCCACAGTCTAATGGGAAGACAGACCTACAGGGACCGCATGCTGTGAGAAATGCTGCAGGGGTAATGTGGACAAAGCACAGGGGAACACAGCCCAGGGAAGTCAGGGAAAGCCTCACAGAGGAGGCAGCCCCAACACAAGATGCAGAGGTGTTTGCTAGGCAGCCACACAAGGGGACACCATCCCAGGTAGAGGGAGCAAAGCCTAGAGGCCACATGTCTGCAAAGCCTAGAGGCATACCTGAGAGTGCCGCATAGGAACAAGTCTAGGATTGTGGACTGGAACTTCAGGCAAGACCCAGGCTGCAAAGTGAATGCCAAAGACAGTGCTGTGTGCTCCATGGTTGAGTGCTTTCAGCCCCCACCTGTGTGTGTGTGTGTGTGTGTGTGTGTGTGTGTGTGTGTGTGACAGTCTTGCTCTGTCACCCAGACTGGAGTGCAGTGGTGTGATCTCAGCTCACTGCAACCTCTGCCTCTCAGGTTCAAGTGATTCTCCTGCCTCAGGCTCATGAGTAGCTGGGACTACAGGTGCACGCCACCACACCTGGCTAATTTTTGTATTTTTAGTAGATAGAGGATTTCACCATGTTGACCAGGATGGTCTCAATCTCTTGATCTCATGATCCACCTGCCTCAGTCTCCCAAAGTGCTGGGATTACAGGCCTGAGCCACCATGCCTGGCTCAGTCCCCTTGAATCAGCAGGCAACCACATACACTTTTCTCCAACTGGCAGATTCACGGAGCCTCAAGAACTTTTTTCAGGACCCCACTCTGGATTAGAAGTGAACACTGTCTGGCTCAACCCAGTGGCTAACGTCTGTAATCTGATCACTTTGGGAGGCTCAGGTAGGCGGATCACTTGAGGTCAGGAGTTCAAGACCAGCTTGACCAATATGGTAAAACCCCATCTCTACTAAAAATCCAAAAATTAGCCAGGCGTGTTGGTGCACACCTGTAGTCCCAGCTACCCGGGAAGCCGACGCATGAGAATCACTTGGACTGTTATGCCGAGGTTGCAGTGAGCTGATATCACACTACTGCACTCCAGCCTGGGTGACCGAGACTCTGTCTCAAAAAAAAAGGCCGTGTGTGTGTGTGTGTGTGTGTGTGTGTGAGAGAGAGAGAGAGAGAGAGACAGAGTCTTGCTTGTCGTCTCAGTGGCGCAGTGACTCATGCTTGTCATCTCAGCAGTTTGGGAGGCTGAGGCCGGCAGATCACGAGGTCAAGAGTTTGAGACCAGCCTGGCCAACGCAATGAAACCCCATCTCTACTAAAAATACAAAAATTAGCTGGGCGTGGTGGTGGGCACCTGTAATTCCAGCTACTCAGGAGGCTGTGGCAGGAGAATCACTTGAACCCAGGAGGCAGAGGTTGCAGTGAGTGGAGATCGCGCCACTGCACTCCAGCCTGGGCGACAGAGCTAGACTCCATCTCAAAAAAAAATGGCCAGGCAAGGGTGCGGTGGCTCACTCCTGTAATCCCAGCACTTTGGGAGGCCGCAGTAGGCAGATCACCTGAGTTCTCGACAAGCCTGGCTAACATCGTGAAACCCTGCCTCCACTAAAAATGCCAAAAAAAAAATTAGCTGGGCGTGGTGGCGTGTGCCTGTAATACCAGCATTTTGGGAGGCTGAGGCAAGTGGATCACTTGAGATCAGAAGTTTGAGACCAGCCTGGCCAACATGGTGGAACCCCATCTGTACTAACAATACAAAAATTAGCTAGGCGTGGTTAGTGGGCTCCTGTAATCTCAGCTACTTGGGAGGCTGAGACAGGAGAATCACTTGCCCAGGAGGCAGAGATTGCAGTGAGTTGAGATCCTGCCACTGCACTCCAGCCTGGGTGACAGAGTGAGACTCCACCTCCAAAAAAAAAAAAAAGTTAACGCTGTCAAGTATACCACATATAACTGCAGGAATGAATCCCACAGGTGTAACGTTGAGAGAATGAGGCCCAACACTGAGAGTCATTCTATATGACCCATTGACATGAAGTTCAAAACCAGGCAAAACTGATCTATGGTCAGGAGAGTGGTTACCTTTGTGGAGTGTGGTGACTAGAAGGTTGCCAGGAGAAGGGCTGTGGGGGCAGTAATGTCTGTTTCTCGAGCTAAATGTTGGTTTTGCAGGTGCATTCTCTTTGTGAAAATTCATCCAGCTGTTGCTGGCCATAGTGGTTCACACCTGTAATCCCGGAACTTTGGGAGGCTGAGGCGGGAGGATCACTTGAGGTCAGGAGTTGGAGACCAGCTTGGCCAACATGGTGAAACCCCATCTCCATGAAAAATACAAAAATTAGCCAGGCATGGTGGTGGGCACCTGTAATCCCAGCCACTCTGGAGGCTGAGGCAGGAGAATCACTTTAACCCAGGAAGCAGAGGTTGCAGTGAGTTGGGATCACACCACTGCACTCCAGCCTGGGTGACAGAGTAAGACTGAGACTCCATCTCAAAAAGAAAAAAAGAAAAAGAAAATTCACCAGCTGTAACTTAAGATGCATGTGTTCTTCTGTAAGTCGCTTCTGCTTCAATTTTTAAAAAACAAGTTACTTCTCATAAACATCAGTGCAAATGTAGAGACTAAAATCCTGTGATCACATAATCAGCTATAAGCCAAGCATCCAGATGATGTGGGGTATGTTTATATTAATTTTTTTAAAGACTTCCAAAATGAAAACACAAACATTTAAAACTCTCATAGAGAGCTCTCGGACTTCAGAGAAGCCTCTTAGACCTCAGGGTTTGACAAACCCTGGCCGGAAGGAACGCATTACGATGCTCAGTGTTGGGGCTGGGTTCTGGAGGGTAAATGAGGGACTTGGGGCACAAATTCCAATGGAAGTGCCTGATCCTGGGAGACAGAGGTGATCATTTCCCCCAGCCCCGCTGAGGGTTACATATAGCTTCATCATAACCAGGATTGCATGAGGAACAGGCCCAGTCCCCTTGGGTCTCCCTGGTTCAGCTGTGAGCTGCTTAAGCAGGCGCCACCTTCATCACCTGTGTTCCTTTCTGGGGCCCAGAAAGGGTCCTGGCACACAGGGCATCTCTGAGAACATGGTCTTCCAGGCCTCTTTGCCCAGGCCCACACTGAGAGTGGAGGAGGGATTCGGGGAAGTTGTGAGTTTCCTGTCACTGGCTGAGCTGCTCAGCCTGGGCTGACAGACCACCAACGGGTGACAGCGGCAGGGGGGATTCAAGGTGGGGTTAAAGTTGTCCAATCCCCCCAGCATGGGAGAGTAAGTGTAGAGGGAGCACTGAACCTGGGGGACCATGAATGTGAACAGGAAGCCCAGCACTGCCCAACAGCTTGGCTACAACTGGAGACAGCACAGCTCCACAGGACACAGACTGTTCCAGAACCCAGAGAGGGCTGCATCTGCTCAGCCGCTCCCCAGGCCTGCTCCACACTGCCCTGCAGTCTCCCTTCTTCCTCTGGGGTCCTCGCCTCTCATCTCAGCCCTGACTCGGCCTCTCTTACCCACTCTTGGGAAGCAGCCTGCTGTTTTTTTCACTTTGTTGTTCCCATGTGCCTGCGTTTCTCAAGCCGCCATGATTCCTGTCCCACCCTCAGAGCTACCTGGTGGACTATGAACTCAGTATTTTGTCTTTATTTTATTTTATTTTTAAAGATGGGGTTTCACCATATTGGTCCGGCTGGTCTCAAACTCCTGACCTCGTGATCCACCCACCTCAGCCTCCCACAGTGCTGGGATTACAGGCATGAGCCACCGCACCCGGCAGTATTTTGTCCTTAAAACAATGTTGGCTGGGTGTGGTGGCTCACACCTGTAATCTCAGCACTTTGGGAGGCCAAGGTGGGCGGATCATGAAGTCAAGAGATAGGGTGAAATCTTGTCTCCCTGGACGCGGAGGTTGCTCCGCCACCACTCCCTCCCCAGGCCCCGTCAGGTTCAAATAATTATCCTGCCTCAAGCTCCCCAGTCGCTGGGATTATAGGTACGTACCACCAAGGCCAGCTAATTTTTTTTTTGTATTTTTTGTAGTGGAGACGGGGTTTCACTATGTTAGACAGGCTGGTCTCGAGCTCCTGACCTCAAATGAATTACCTATCTAGGCCTCCCAAAGTGCTGGGATTACAGGCATGAGCCACTGCTCCTGGCCCCGGCTAATTTTTATATTTTTAGTAGAGATGGGGTTTCATCATGTTGACCAGGCTGGTCTTGAATTCCTGACTTCAAGTGATCCGCCCACTTCAAGTGATCCAGCCTCCCAAAGTGTTGGGATTACAGGCGTGAGCCACCACACCCAGCCACATTAAATTTTAATTAGAAATATTTGTTCTTGTATCACCTAAAATTATCTTGCATAGCACCGCATTGGAAATTGTCTTATATAATGGTTCAGGGAGAGGGTGGTGATTATTTATGAAAAATAATAATAGCTTCAGGTTAGCAGCGAGTTTTATGCTTTGTCCATTAATTCATGGTTTCAATGGATCCTCTCAATTCCCACACTATGGGCATCACTGGCCTCATTTTACAGACAAGGAAACTAAGGCTAAAAGGATAGTCGTGCCTTACCTGGGATCACACAGCAAGTTAAGTTGTTTTTTTTTTTGAGACAGAGTTTTGCTCTTGTAGCTCAGGCTAGAGTGCAATGGCACAATCTCGGTTCACTACAAACTCTGCCTCCCAGGTTCAAGTAATTCTCCTGCCTCAACCTCCAAAGTAGCTGGGATTACAGGAATACACCACCATGCCCAGCTAATTTTGTAGTTTTTAGTAGAGATGTGGTTTCACCATGTTGGTTAGGCTAGTCTGGAACTCCTGACCTCAGGTGATCCGGCTGCCTCGGCCTCCCAAAGTGCTGGGATTACAGGCAGAGCCACTGTGCCTGGCACAAGTTACGACTTTAAACATTCAAGGCTTTGATGGCTCCAGACCTAGGTGAAGGCAAAAAGCAGGCAGCACTTTCCTGTCTCCTGCCAGAACCACAAGAGACACAGGTGGCAACTCATAGCATCAGCAGTTTAGATTAGACATGAAGCAGAACTTCCTGGCAAGAAATGTTCAGACATTTAAATGAAAGTTGCCAGGAAGTATTTTAAATTAAAAAAAAAAAAAGTTCAGACATCAGAATGAGTGTCCGAGGAAGGGCGTGGAGAGCCTGGCTTCCGAAATGCTCAAAACAAGATAAAGACTTGCAAGCTGGGATGATGCCAGTGCTGCCTGGAGGCAGGGGAATGGACTGAGTGACCTACAGAGGTCTGCTCCAGCCCCAAAGACTGGTGCACCCTGCCGTCAAGGTGGCTACCTTTGCCATTTCCCGTTTCCCCAAAGCATCTATTATTTTAATTAATTTATTTATTTAGAGACGTAGTTTCGCTCTTGTTGCCGAGGCTGGAGTGCAGTGGCTCACTGCAACCTCCACCCCCAGGTTCAAGTGATTCTCCTGCCTCAGCCTCCTGAGTAGCTGGGATCACAGGCATGTGCCACCATGCCCGACTACTTTTGTATTTTTAGTAGAGACAGGGTTTCTCCATGTTGGTCAGGCTGGCCTCAAACTCTCGACCTGAGGTGATCAGCCTCAGCCCTCCAAGTGCTGGGATTACAGGTGTGAGCTGCTGTGCCCAGCCTCCCCAAAGCATCTATTAAGCAAGAAGGCTCCAACTTAAAGGCACAGGGACAAACCTTGTCTTGGTTCCTGGCCCTTAGAGGGAGTGGTTGACAACAGCCACGGATGCAAATGGCTGGGGAGTGGGGTGCAGAGGCAGTTTGGAGGAGCTAGAGCTTCCTTCCCTTCCCCTCTCCTCTGGCAGCTCTGCCCCTAGGTTTCCGAGGCTGGGATTCCAAAACCTACCTAGCCTCAGAATCGCTGCAGGCTGCTAGGCCAAGTGAACTGGGCTGAGAAACCTGCATTTCTTCAATATTCTCGAGGGGACTTTTTCAAAGTGTTCTGAGCTAAGAAGGTAGCTAGATGCTGACTTCAGTTGTTGCTGCTCTGGGGGCTGAATTGTTGTGGGTTTTTGTTTGTTTAAAAGTCAAAGCATTTATTTTTCAAAATAGAAAGGGAATTTTCCTTTCTTTTTTATTTCTTTTGAGATGGAGTCTTGTTCTGTCACCCAAGATGTAGTACAGTAGCACCATCTCGGCTCACTGCAACCTCTGCCTCCTGGGTTTAAAAGATTCTCCTGCATCACCCTCCCGAGTAGCTGGGATTACAGGTGCCCCCCACCATTGTGCCCAGTCTTGGCATTTTCCTTTCTGATTATAACAAATAATATAGTCCCATTTGTTTTTAAAAATTTAATAATATTTAAAAATTATAAAAATGAAAGTGGGTCGGGTGTGGTGGCTAAAACCTGTAATCCCAGCACTTTAGGGAGGCCAAGGCAGGCAGATCACAGTGAAACCCTATCTCTACTAAAAATACAAAAATTAGCGGGCGCCTGTAATCCCAGCTACTCAGGAGGCTGAGGCAGAAGAATTGCTTGAACCCAGGAGGTGGAGGTTGCAGTGAGCTGAGATAAAACCACTGCACTCCAGCCTGGGTGACAGAGTAAGACTCCGTCTCAAAAAAAGAAAAAAGAAAGTAAAATACCCCGAATTCTATCATCTGGAAACAGAGCATTGTTTTTCGAGCACATCCTTCCAAAAAAACTTTGTTTTTTTTTTCTGAGACGGAGTCTCACTCTTCTCGTACAGGCTGGAGTGCTATGGCGCAATCTTGGCTCACTGCAACCTCCACTCCTGAGTTCATGTGACTCTCCTGCACAGCTGGGATTACAGGTGCCTGCCACCATGCCTGGCTAATTTTTGTACTTTTAGTAGAGGCAGGATTTCACCATATCAGTCAGGCTGGTCTCGAAATCCCAGCCACAGGTGATTTGCCTGCCTCAGCCTCCCAAAGTGTTGGGATTATAGGTATGAGCCACTGCACCTGGCCCCCCCAAAAATTTTTTGTGGTGAAATATTCATAGCATAAAATGTATCATTTTAACCATTTTTAAGTGTATGCAAATTCTACTTTTATAAATACCTCCCGAAGCTAGGGCGCCTCGTGCAACTTTGATCACCTCCACAGACTGGCGGCTAAAATGCTTTGGGGTGAGGGCCTGTCTGACATTGTTCAAATGAAAACAGGGTATCCAGCCACTCTGTGAGGTGCTAAAATTGGTCCTGTTAAAATATGAAGGCTGGCCAGGTATGGTGGCTCAGCACTTTGGGAAGCCAAGGCAGGCAGATCAACTGAGGCCAGGAGTTCCAGACCATCCTGGACAACATGGCGAAACCCCCTCTCTACACAAATACAAAAATTATCCAGGTGTGGTGGCATGTGCCTATAGTCCCAGCTATTTGGGAGACTGAGGTGGGAGGATTGCTGGAGCTTGGGAGGTCGAGGCTGCAGAGTGCCATGATCATGCCACTGCACTTCAACCTGGGTAACAGAATGAGACCCTGTCCCAGAAAATAAAAATAAAAATGAAATATGAAGGCCAGGCCAAGTGTGGTAACTCATACCTGTAATCCCAACACTTTGGGAGTCTGAGGCCGGTGGATCACTTTACATATATATGAAGGCCAAAGATGAGGGGAGGCCAGTCTGTCTTCTGACAGGACCTCGTGAGGAGAAGCAAGGGGCATAGTTTTGCTAGACTTCTCCAAGAAATGTTTGCTAGCTAAGGAAGATGAGAGAGCGCCCCCGGCCCTTCCTGGGGGAGGTATCTGTGATTATCCTGGCAGGATCCTCAGTCTAAGGTGTTTCTCTCTGCTCTTGGCCTTTGGGGTAAGCAGGAGCTGCAAACTCTGGTGGACAAAAAAGGGTCAGGACATGGCACTGGGCCGGGAACAAATAACCATCCCTGGGGAGGAACAGGCCCTTGACAGGAAGGCAGGAGCTGCTGCCAGCAGACAGGAAAGAGCGAGGCCAGCCTCCTCCATCAGCCTGGCTCTGGCGAACTTTGCTTCCTCCAGCTCCACAGAGGGAGGGAGGCCAAGAAGAGCCTCCAGGTCCCAAACAAAGATTTCAGAGCATGGTCAGGAGACTGAGTCAGGAACCACAGGAATTGGCTTAGCAGATAACATGTGCTGGCTTCAGAAAGACCCTGAACTCAGAGCTTGAACTAACTGGGCGGGGCACTCTCTCTCTCTCCTGTTAACTGGATCCCTCCTTCCAAACCAGGAGTGATCTCCTCCTCGCTGACACCCCGCCACATTCATGTAGCCCTCACTCAACCTTTAGCACACACTCATTGGTGTTTTTGCCCTCCATGGACCCCAACCCAGCTGTAACGTCTTAGAGAGCAGCTACTAGTCTCCAGGGGTCTTCATATCTCTCCGTTGTGCCCAGTCCAGTGTCCTGCACAGAGCAGATGTTTAGGCAGCATGCACATGGTGAGGTTTATGTGGGGGAGTGGTATCCTGACAACAAGAGCAGCTGGAGTTCTGAACAACACAGTTTTGAGGCCCTTCCAAGGTGGTCTGGAGGGTTTCCAAGAGGAGGTGAGAAATACAGAGGGTCTTGGAGGTAGCATAGAGTTCAGTTAATGGAGAGGAAGCAGCAGGAAGGGGCATTCTGGGAGATCCTGCTGCGGGAATGAGGTTTGGGGACTAAGTCCCAGGAAATCTCGGTGACTCCCAGGTTCAGATGCCCTTGCAGGCTTGCACTGTGTCTGCCAGGAGGTGAGTGCAGGACGCTGGGGCTCTCATTACAGTCCGGAGACACGATGGGCTCCTGGCTGCCACCTTTTCCAAGAAGCTGACTTTTGAGGAATCCGCCTGCCCACGGGAATCACAGCATGTTTGCACTGGCCTCAGCTGTTGATTACGCTGTCATCCATGCAGCCAGCTTTCAGGAAGAACACTCTCTTCCTCACAGCGTGTCCCCTCTCCTGTTTTCATGTTTATGGCATCAGGTGGTTTGCAGAGTGCTCCACACCCAGATGTGTGTACCCAGTGAGGTCAGCTGAGAAAACAACAGCCTGCTCACCACCCTGCTGCCCCCCTCGTTCTAGAAGCTACAGGTTGGGGCCACCATCACCCCTGGGCACACCGCCCCCTCACCTTCAACGCCCCCAGTGCCTCCTGCTTCCCTTCCAGCCTCTCGATTGCCCAAACTGTTGTTTATCAACACAGACCAGAACATTCTGCTGCCAGAAGAAAGACACATGGTGATGGCACTGCTACCCACACCCTGCTGTCAATGCACTCCCACGCACTGTTTGCCACTGTCAGAGCCCTGCTCACACACACATTCTCACCCGATCCTGCCAGCACAGCTGTTCCCTGCTGCCGGGAACCAGGCCCTCCATCCCGCACGACACACATGTTCTCTGTGGGTTTTTCTCAATGTAGTGTGTGTGCTCACGGTGGAGGCACACACTGTGAACCAGGCCAGCACACGCTCTTCCCTCCAACCCAGGCTGGGGATCTATCACTTGCTACTGTGTGACCTTGGGCCATGGACTTCACCTCTCTGCATCAGAGGCCTCATTGTAGAATGGGGATAATGATGACCTATAGATGATAATTATCCATAGCATCTCTAAGGGCTTTCTATGTGGGCTTTTCCGTACGGTCTGTGGTTTGGACAGAGAGCAGGCACCCAGGAAGTGCTGAATCAGCAGGAGCCTTGCGGGTGGGGTGAGTATTGTTGGAGTGTCTCTGGAATCTGGCTGGTGGTTTTCCTCTCCTGGGCCAGCTGTCAGCCTCATCTCATGTTCACAGCGTCCTGGCTGCCTGACCCTGATCCTGGGATGTCACCTGTCTGCTACCCAGTTCTTACCAGCAAAATGGGCATAATGACCACCTCAGAGGAAGGGTCCCCTTCTGCTCTGCCTTTTGGTCACTCTCCTCCGCCCTCCCTCTGACATCAGCAGCCCTTCTGTGTCTTGTCTCTTCAGCCTGGTCTTTCCTTCTTGGCCAGCAAACCTGTTCCACTCTTTTCTTTCTTTCTTTCTTTTTTGAGTTGGAGTCTTGCTCTTGTCGCCCAGCCTGGAATGTAATGGCTCAATCTCAGCTTACTGCAACCTCTGCCTCCTGAGTTCAAGCGATTCTCTTGCATCAACCTCCCAAGTAGGTGGGCTTATAGGCACGTGCCACCACACCTGGCTAATTTTTGTATTTTTAGTAGAGACAGGGTTTCACCATGTTGGCCAGGCTGGTCTCGAGCTCCTGACCTCAGGAGATCCACCCACCTCAGCTTCCCAAAGTGCTGGGATTACGGGCATGAGCCACCACGCCTGGCCCCAGTCTTTTCTATTCTGGGAAACAGAGAGATGGATGCAGAAAGGAAAGAACATAAATCTGGTTTGAGGATTGAGACAAGTCTGGGCTGAGCGGGAGAGCACCCTGGCTGTCCTCGAGGAGCAGGTGCTGGTGTGGGTGGAGCACCAAGTCAGGCCATGCCGGAGAGCCAGTGCCTGGAGGGACTTCGCCCTAAGCAGCACCACCTTACTTCCTGCTGTTGGTGGAAATCTGGAGGCAGATCCTCTCCTGGTCTGAGCAGCTGTGGCTTTCCCCTTTTCCTGCATGCAGAGACTTTCAAGTTCCAGCCACCACTGGGAACCACTGGAGAGCTGTTGGCTCCAGAGCACCATGGTAAATAGGTTGCCCCTAATCATTGGGGTCCCATGTGAGAGTACAAATGGAGAACCACACACCAGGTTCATACAAAATGTGTACACATTTGGTATACACCAAGCTTAATCAGCTATCATGGCCGGGCACAGTGGCTCACACCTGTAATCCCAGCAGTTTGGGAGGCTAAGGCAGAAGGAGCACCTGAGGTCGGGAGTTTGAAACCAGCCTGACAAACATGGAGAAACCCCATCTCTACTAAAAATACAAAATTAGCCGGGTGTGGTGGCACATGCCTGTAATCCCAGCTACTTGGGAGGCTGAGGCAGGAGAATCATTTGAACCCCGGAGGTGGAGGTTGCAGTGAGATCATGCCATTGCACTCCAGCCTGGGCAACAAGAGCAAAACTCTGTCTCAAAAAAAAGAAGGAAAGAAAGAAGAAAAAAGTCATCTGTCATATAAAACAAGTTTTATCTTCCAGCTTCCTGAATATAGCTTCAGAAAAACCTGGAAAGCCACGTATAAATCTGGAATTCTTGGAGTCTTCAGAGTCCCTATCTGGAACTCTGGGGCAAGGGACAGAGGGGCCAGCCAGGCAACGTGAGCAGTCACAAACTGTTTGAATCTGATCAATACTTTATGCTTTGTAATTTCTCCTGGCCTGTGTGCCAAAAGATCTAGAAGGCAGTTTAGCAGTTTAATTAAGATCCTTAATTAGGCATTCAAATCCCTGCCAAAAGTGAGCATATCAATTAACCTCTTTGAGACTTAATTTCCCCATCTGTAAAATGGGACTAATAATACCTCCCTGATAAAGTTACTGTGGTTATTCAAAGAGATAAGCCATGTAAAGCCCTTAGCATGGTCCTGGAGTACAGTAATCACTCAGCAGGTGTGCGGTTCTCCACACATGGGCAGCGACGGCCCTGTCTCCTCCTTGCACACATGAAACAGGTTCCTGGGCTCAGCAGAAGCAGAGCTGAAACTAGGGCTTCTAAGCTTCCCACGGTCCTGGATTTTGCTCCAGTGAAAAAGAGAGAAAAAAAAAATGATGTCACAACAATGTGAATGCCTGTCAGGAAACAATACAAATTAAGAATGGTTAAAATGGCGGCCGGGTGCGGTGGCTCACGCCTATAATCCCAGCACTTTGGGAGGCTGAGGCGGGTCACAAAGTTCAAGACCAGCCTGACCAATATGATGAAACCCCATCTCTACCAAAAAAATACAAAAATTAACCAGGTGTGGTGGTGAGTGCCTGTAATCCCAGCTACTCAGGAGGCTGAGGCAGGAGAATTGCTTGAACCCAGGAGGCGGAGGTTGCCGTGAGCCAAGATCATGCCAGTGAACACCAGCCTGGGCGACAGAGTAAGACTCTGTCTCAAAAAAAAAAGAAAAAGAAAAATTATCTGGATGTGGTAGCATGTGCCTACTGCGGAGGCTGAGGCAGGAGAATCACTTGAACCTGGGCGGCAGAGGTTGCAGTGAGCTGAGATCATGCCACTGCACTCCAGCCTGGTGACAGAGCAAAACTCCATCTTAAAAAAGAATGATTAAAATGTATATTTTATGTATACGTTATTATACTGTTGTATTGATTTGCTAGGGCTGATGTAACAAATGACTGCAAACTGGGAGGCTTAACCAGTAGAAATGTGTTGTCTTGCAGCTCTGGAGGCTAGAGGTCCAAGGTCAAGGCGTCAGCAGGATTGGTTCCTTCCCAGGGCTGGGAGGGAGAAGCTGTCTTTGGTCTGGCTCTGGAGGCTTCCTGGCCATCGTTGGCATGACTTGGCTGGTGGAAGTATCACCCCTTCAGCCTCTGCCTGTATTTTCACACGGCCCTGTCCATGTGTGTGTGTCCAAATTTTCCCCTTTTATAAGGACACTGGTTACACTGGGTTAAGGTCTACCCTACTGACTTCATTTTAATGTAATGACATCTGTAATGACCCTGTCTAAATATTTCCAAATCAGGTTATATTCTGAGGTACTGGAGATTAGGACTTCAACATATGAGTGTTGAGGGAACACTATTCAACTTGTAGCAACCACAATGAACAAAAAGTGTCGACCTTGTATCAGATTATAGACAGGGGAAAACACATTTTGTGACATTTCCGGGCTTTGCTCATAGTAGAGTTTCAAAATGTGCTTCTTTTCTTTTTTTTTTTCTTTTTTTTTTTTTAGACAGTTTTGCTCTTGTTACCTAGGCTGAAGTGCAATGGCGTGATCTCGGCTCACCATAACCTCCGCCTCCCAGGTTCAAATGATTCTCCTGCCTCAGCCTCCAGGTAGCCGGGACTACAGGCCATGCACCACCACAACTGGGTAATTTCGTATTTTTAGTAAATACGGAGTTTCTCCATGTTGGCCGACCTCAGGTGATGCACCCTCTTTGGCCTTCCAAAGTGCTGGGATTACAGGTGTGAGCCGCTGTGCCCTGACCTGGTCAAGTTTTTGCCTCATTTGCTTGATCTGTATAAAGTTTTCCTGGTGAGCCATTTGCAAAGTCACATACTTGAACATGAATTTCCTAGGATAGGCTGCTCTCCTTAATCACATTGCCATTCTCACATGTAAGAAAACTGACAATGGTTCCATAATGTCATCTCATATCCAGTTTATACTCAAATTTGACCAGGCTGGTTTTTTAAACATTTTGAACCTAATGAATTCCAAATCTGTAAAACTTAAGGTTTTTGTTTTTTTTTTTTTGAGACAGTCTTGCTCTGTCACCCAGGCTAGAGTGCAGTGCTGTGATCTAGGCTCACTGCAAGCTCTGCCTACCAGATTCAAGAGATTCTCCTGCCTCAGCCTCAGAAGTAGGGACTACAGGCATGAGCCATCACACCCGGCTAATTTTTTATGGATTTTTAGTAGAGATCGGGTTTCACCATGCTGGCCAGGATGGTCTCAATCTCCTGACCTTGTGACCCATGTGCCCCAACTTCCCAAATTGCTAGGATTACAGGCGTGAGCCACCACACCCAGCCAAGCTTAAAAACATGACAATATTACCTATGCTATGGGAATTTTGAAGCTTCAAAAAATGCAATTTAGGGCCAGGTACGGTGGCTCACATCTGTAATCCCAGCACTTTGGAAGGCCATGGCAGGAGGATCGCTTGAGCTCAGGAGTTTTCAACCAGCTTGTGCAATATAGGGAGATCCCATCTCTACAAAAGATTTAAAAATTAACTGAGTTTAGTGGTGAGGGCCTGTAATCCCATCTGCTTGGGAGGCTGAAGCGGGAGGATCACTTCAACCTGGGAAGTGAGGTTGCTGTGAGCCAAGACTGTGCCACTGCACTCCAGCCTGGGTGACAGACCAAGACCCTGTCTCAGTAAATAAATAAATAAGCTGGGCGTGGTGGCACATGCCTGTAGTCTCTGCTACTAGGAAGGCTGAGGCAGGATGATTGCTTAAGCCTGCAGTGAGCTCTGATCACACCACAGTACTCCAGTGAGACCCTGTCTTTAAAAAGAAAAAAGAAAACGTTTTAGTTATAGGCCTAGAAGCAAAAAGGGGGAAAAAAAAGAAAAAGGAAAATGCAATGTGGCCAGGTGCAGTGGCTCATGCCTGTAATCCCAGCACTTAAGAAAGCCAAGGCTGGTGGATCGCCTGAGGTCAGGAGTTCGAGACCAGCCTGGCCAACATGATGAAACCTGTCTCTACTAAAAATGCAAAACTTAGCCGGTCATGGTGGTGCATGCTTGCAATTCCAGCTACTCAGGAGGCTGAGGAAAGAGAATCGCTTGAACCTAGGAGGCAGAGGTGGCAGTAAGCTGAGATCACGCTGCTGCACTCTAGCCTGGGTGACAGAACAAGACTCTCTCTAAAAAAAAAAAAAAGCAACTCAACATGTAAAACTCTTTCTGGCCATGCCACAGTGTTTCTTTTCCTTCATTTCCTTTCACTCACAAGCTCTTTCGAATGCTCAAATGTGTGCTTGGGGTGGGGTGTCTCTGGAATTCCTTTTAATCTAAGACAATGGCTTTCCAGGAGTACCTGCAGGAAGACCTGTTAAGACTGGCCTGAGACCTCCTAGACTTGCCTGGGACCTCCCTGCAGAAGTTGCCAAAGGGAGCAGGGAGGGAAAGGAGGTTTGCCCTTGCCCTTGCCCTTGGCCTTGGTTTGGGGTGGAGACACCCAGGCTGAGAACTTCCCCCTCCATAGTTGGCCAAGTTCCAATCTGGCATGGCTGTCCCTGCTGCCATTGTCATGGGCTCTTTTGGGGGAGTTCCGGACAGCACCACTGTGCAAAGATTGTCCTGGTCTCCAGAAAGTCGGCTCCAAATGACACTGAGGGAAGAAAGAGGAAATCTCTGCAGTGTATTTCCCTGAGTTTTTGGGGAATAGTCCTCTTCTCTACAAATCCAGGGCTCGGGATTAAGCACTAGGTTTGTAAAACCGATTCATAACTAGGAATGGCATTAATTAGTAACACTGTACAAATAAAAAGGGGGGCCACAAGGATGGAGGGCGTTGGAGGAGAGTGTGGTTGGCGATCCCAGGCCGCCTTCCTCCTCCAGCTCCCAGGCTTGCTTCAGCTGGGCTGCAAGTTCTTGCCAATGTATTTCTGCTTGGGACAGCAGCCAAGGGTCAGATAAAGTTCCAACTGTATTTTGCAGCAGGCCTGACACTTTGCCCAGTGCTTTAGGCCTGTGACAGTGCCAGGATAGTATGTTGGGAAAGCCAGTCCAGAGGGAGCTGGTTTAAATGTGTTTGAGGGAGCAGGCAGTTGACTAACCAGACAGTTCAGCAACACAACACTCAGTCACATCATCGGACCAGTGAGGACACAGAAGGCCTGCGCTCCATTCCCAGGAAGCCCCTGGCAGCCACTGTGCTAATCCCTCAGCATTTCAGGGACCAAGATCTGTAGCCTCATTTTGTTGTCTTTAGTAAGACAAGTAATCACTGAACCAAGCTTACACCAAGCACTTTACATGCATGATCTAACGGAATCTTCAGCACAGCGGATGAGGGAGTTACTATTTTCCTAACCATACAGATAGTAGATGACATTACAGGAAACAGACAGTGTATATGAGGATCTCTTCTAAACGCTTTCCACCCATTAACTAATTTTCTGGAGAAACTGAGGCAGAGCAGGGGCAAAGCCAGTTGTCCAGTGTCACACAGCTGGTGGGTATGGATCTGAAACCACAGGAAACTGGGTGATTCCAGAATGGAGGACCCACCCCTGCACGACCCCCCGATTTTCCAAGTGGGGAAATAGGTTCGAAGACAATTAGGGGAAGAGAAACCAGGGTGAGATGGGTTAGTTCAGATGAGGGCAAAGTTTGCAGTCTCTTCTGCTTCCTAACCAGCATAATGAGAGGTGCCCATGGGAACAGAACTCAGACATCTGACCCTGAGCCCTCTGCCACTCTTCCTTCCTCTCCTCTGGCCCAGTTGGTCTGAACTGTGTTGTTCTAGGCCTCATGGGAGCTGCTGTGGGACACAGACTGGGCAAGAGGCCTTTTGTTCACACTAGGTTGTCCCTGGCAGGCCAGGAGCAGTGGCTCACCCCTGTAATCCCAGCACTTTGGGAGGCCAAGGCAGGCAGATCATCTGAGGTCAGGAGTTCGAGACCAACCTGGCCAACCTGGTTGACCTGAAATCCTGTCTCTACTAAAAATACAAAAGTTAGCCAGGCATGGTGGTGCGGGCCTGTAATCTCAGCTACTTAGGAGGCTGAGGTGGGAGAATCGCTTAAGCCTAGAAGGTGGAGGCTGCAGTGAACAGACATGAAGGCATTGGACTCCATCCTGGGCAACAGAGAGAGACTCCATCTTAAAAAAAAAAACAAAAAACAAAAAAAGATTGCCTCTGACCCTTCTTGACTCCTAGGCACCCCGAGGGCAGTGAAAAGCTGCCTGGTATGCCTCCCACAGCCAAGGCTCTGTCCTGAACCCGGAAGTGAGCCAGCTGGACCCAGCCTTGCAGGAGGCGAGGCTTCCTGTCACATTGAAGCTCTGCTGATATCCCAAGGCCACCTGCAGCGATGGCACATGGTGGGTGGAGATGGTGGCCTGGTGTCCATCTGGCACTGTCATTGTCCTTACAAGCTCTGCTTTCACCTGCACCAGTGGACAAACCCAAGTACCAGAGGGGCTGCTGCCATCTGTCCCTCTCCCTGGCCTCAGGCAGGAGCATCAGGACCAGACTCAGAAAGGAACGTCAGGCCTGGCTTCAGGGTGCCTCTCGGCATGCTCAGATGGGCAGGACCAGAGACCGACAGAGGAGATAATCTTTAAGCAGGGCTTGAATATACAATAAACCATAGAAATCTGCATCTTCCATTTCGGGGGTGGGGGAATTAGGTTGGTTTTTTCTTATGTTTGCAGACATATCTATGTATTTATATACATGCACGTCCCCCCCATCTTTTTAGAAAATGTTCCCATGTTTTTGCTAATCATTCATTCTTTCTTCCTTTCCATATGTATTTATTTTTTTTTATTTATTTATTTTTTGAGTCAGAGTCTCGCTCTTGTTGCCCAGGCTGGAGTGCAGTGGTGTGATCTTTGCTCACTGCAACCTCTGCCTCCCAGGTGTAAGCAATTCTGTCTCAGCCTGCTGAGTAACTGAGATTACAGGCATGTGCCACCACTTGGCTAATTTTTATATTTTCAGTAGAGGTGGGTTTTTGCCATGTTGGCCAGTGAACTCAAGTGCTCCGCCCGCCTTGGCCTCCCAAAGTTCTTGGATTACAGGCATGAGCCATCTACGCCCGGATTATTTACTTATTTATTTTATTGTTATCATCATTATTATTTTATTTATTTATTTTTGAGACAGAGACTCTTGCTCTGTCACCAAGCTGGAGTGCAGTGGCATGATCTCAGCTCACTGCAACCTCCTCCGCCCGGGTTCAAGCAAGTCTCCTGCCTCAGCCTCCTGAGTAGCTGGGATGACAAGAACGCATCACCACACCTGGCTAATTTTTTGTATTTTCGTAGAGACAGGGTTTCACCATGTTGGCCATGATGGTCTTGATCTCCTGACCTCGAGATCTGCCCACTTTGGCCTCCCGAAGTGCTGGAATTACAGGCATGAGCCACCGTGCCCAGCCCCTTTCCATATATATGTATTGATCTCTTAGTACGTGCCAGGAACCTTGGTAAGTCCTGGGTATGCAGAGATGAGGAAAACAGACCTGATCTCTCCATCACTGACCTTTCAGCCTGGTCGAGAAAGAAACTTCAAATTCTGAACTGCACTAAGAGCTAAAGAGAAAAAACAGGGAGCTCTGAGAGGGGACCTCTACAGGACCTCTACTCAAGTAACATTTATGTGGGGATCAATATGAGAAGGAGCCAATCATTTGAAGAGTGTAGGAAAAGGCTTCTGGGCAGAGGGAACAGCATAAGTGAGGGCATAGAAGTCTGAACATTGTGTGGGGTGTGTGGGGAAGTCTGATGCTCTTCCTAATGACAGGGTAGGGGTGTAGTTGGGGGAAGCCATTCTGGCAGGGCAGAATCAATGTGAGAAAACTCCAAATGTCAAGCCAAGAGATTTGGACTTGATTCTGTAAGCAACAGGGGGCTACTCATGTCACTTAGTTTTGAAACAGCAGTTCTGAGGCTCTAGCCTGGAAAAGCCCAGAATATTAATGTTCAAGAGGAAATGTCTGCTTCAAAAGAAAGGCTCTTTCTCCTGCTTGCTGAGAATTCAAAGCCTGCCCCATGCCTCTGAGCCTTAGAGCCAGACAGGTTGCCTTATTACTGATTCCCCACAGAAACGCAGCCCAAGAGATCTGTCCAAGTGAAATGGCAAACCAAGGCCAAATGCAGAAACTCCAGCCCCAAATGCCAGCCTTCAGCTCCAGCCCTAAACCTGCCCCCTTTCACTTGGGAATTCTTTCTGGCACTCACTCAAAGCAGTTGAGTGAGAAAATGCTTTTTTTTTAGACCACTTGCACTATGTCACCCAGGCTGGAGTACAGTGGTGAGATCTTAGCTCACTGCAGCCTTGACCTCCTGGGCTCAAGGGGTCCTCCTGCCTCAGCCTCCCAAGTAGCTGGGACTGAAGGCTTGAAAATTAAATAAATTGCGTTCTTGAAAATGCATGTTAACACGAATTTGTGGAGCTATTACTACTAGTGCCAATTACAGTACCTGGCCTGGGAGGTAGACCTGCCCCAAGGGCGCTCCCAATCTCCTTGAACTCCAGAAATTTCCCTAGGACTCCCCTCCCCTGCCCCCAACTCCTCAAGTTGCTGAAAATCATGAGTAACAAAGCGGCCAGGAGTTTCCTGTCTTGCAGAGCTGGCTTACTCAATTTCCCTCGTTTGTCTGCTCAGACCAGACGGGGCAAAGGGCAGCCATCAAAGGTGTCTGGGACCAGCCCGGAGGAGTAATGGGCCGCTGGGGATTCTGTCTGGCCCGGGTCTCAGCCAGGGGAGAGGGCGGGAAGGCAGCCGGGCCGGGGCCGCGGGCGGGGGACCAGGGCACCGGGGAGAAGCGACCCAGCTCAGGCCGGCACGCTGTGCGCGCAACGTGCAGGACTGCGAAAGCGGATGCAGCCAGATGGGGCAATCTCTGGCAACGTGCCCCGGACCGACGGGGTGGGAGCCCGGGGCCGGCGGGCCCAGCCTCCAGCATTAGTCCCGCCCTCAGCTTCCCCAGTTGTGGTTGGGTTTGGGAGGGCACCCAGGGCCTGAGCACACGGGTGGGCCCGCGTGCCCAAGCCCCCTGGGGCCCAGGCGCCCTGGCTCATTACCTCCCCCCGGCCACGGGCGCTGGGTTCCGCTCCTGTTGCACCACCCCCGCACTGCTCTGACAGACACAAGGAGCTGGTGCCAACCCGCAGACACACCTGGGCTGCCCCACGTGGGCATCGCACGCGCAGGGGCACATCTGCCTTGCTGGGTTTGGAGAGCAGCTGCAAGTCAGCCCCTGGAGTGTGGTCCCGTGCGGGTTGGAACAAGAACTGAGTAACCTCTCTGAGCTTCAGATAACTCATCTGTTAAATGGGGAGGAAGATAGCATCACTCGGTTGTTGTCAGGATGAAATAAGATAAAGGCTATAGGGGCAGGTGTGGTGGCTCACTCCTGTAATACCAGCACTTTGGGAGGCCGAGGTGGGAAGATCTCTTGAGCCCAGGAGGTCAAGGCTGCAGTGAGCCCAGATCACGCCACTCCACTCCAGCCTGGGCGACAGAGCAAGACCCTGTTTCAAAAAAAAAGAAAAACAAAAAAGGCTACAAGTGTTAAGTCTCAGTCACTAGCACTCACCCAGTAAGTGATAGCCATGAGGATTCTTACAGAGGAGGGAACTGGGAGCTACAAAGCCAGCTGGGCTCAGAGGCTGCAACTGGGGCATGTCTGGGTTTTTTCCTTCCCTGTATCATATTCATTTTTTTCCTCAATATCACCCCTCATCTTTCACCCAGGCCCGGCAGCATTCTTTCATTCATTTGACACACATTGGTTGATATTTGTGCCTACTGTGAGGCATTAAAAACTGCTTGTCTGGCTGTGTGGCACCCAGGAACGTTCCCCAGGCCATGCCGGCTACACCTGTGGCCTGTTCAGCCTGGGTTGCTGCCAGGTCTGGCCCTGAGTCACTGGAGTAAGTCACTTCCTCTCTCAGTCCCTCCATCTGTGCAATAGGGATAAGAGTCCTGGTCTTTCTCCAGTCTCCTGGGACTGACAGGGGATGAGTCAGATAACGGCGGGGAAGGCCCAGAGAGGCAGAAAGCAGCTCTTACTAGAGTGGGGCCTGTCTGGCTGATGCAAGGCTTGCACTTTGCGTGCAACCCCACCCGTACAAACAGCGATGGCTCTGGGAAGCCTGAGGAGCAGGGGGAGCAGTGAAGTCCCCACCCCCACCCGACAGCCAGGGTGTGGGATCCAGACTGGCAGCTAGGGAGTCTGGGCAGCCGGGGCTCTGTCTGGCCTCTGCTTCCCCAGCTCTGCCAGCAGGTTCCTGACCCCTCTGTTCCAGCTGTCTTTTCTGTCACTCAGGGTCCAGGTACCTCCCTCACCGAGCTGAAGTTGGAAGTGAGGGTGGTAACTCCCAGAGGGAGTGGAGCTGGTCTGTGTTTCTGGGAGGGGTCTGAGGGCTGATGGGGGCTCCGGGTGGGGGAGGTGGGACCAGACAGTTGAAAGAACCAGAGTGGGGGAGCACCAGAGCACTGGCCAAGGAGGATCAGCATATTCCACAGTCACCCCAGGCAGGGGGTCCCAGGAGCTCCTCCTGAGTTAGAGACCCCTGCACCCTCAGCCAACCCAGCATGACAGACCCTGTCTCATCCCACAGTGTACAGGACATTCACACTTAGGTCTGGGCCCCAATCTGGCTTCTGCCCCCGGCCAGGGGTATGACCTTGGGCCGGTGATTGAAGTCACTGGGACTCCATTTTTCCACATGTGACATGGGTATCCTGAGGCCTGCTTTGTAAAGCTGTTGTAAGGCTGAGGGAAAATGAGAACGATATCAAGTGTTCACGGTAGTGGCGGGTGCTGTGGGAAGCAGCAGCGCTCTCCCCCGCCGCCCCTCCCCCTTTCCCTATCAGGTAGAATGTCACAGTAAGTCCTTGGAATAGAAAGGCCTACCAACATCTTCACAGTATCCCAACCCCCAAGGTTTCTAGCCTGATACCATAAGCTTTGATGAAAAGAGCTCTATTTGCTTGGGGACTTTATTTATTTATTTATTTTTGAGATGAAGTTTTGCTCTTCTTGCTCAGGTTGGAGTGCAATGACATGATCTCAGCTCACCGCAACCTCTGCCTCCCAGGTTTCAGCCATTCTCCTGCCTCAGCCTCCCAAGTAGCTGAGATTACAGGAATATGTCACCATGCCCAGGTAATTTTTGTATTTTCAGTAGAGACAGGGTTTCTCCATGTTGGCCAGGCTGGTCTTGAACGCCCAACCTAAGGTGATCCGCCCACCTTGGCCTCCCAAAGTTCTGGGATTACAGGCATGAGCCACCACGCCCGGCCTGCTTGGGGACTTTATATGCATTATTGTATTTGACATATAATGAGGACCTCACATGGCATCCATTATATAGACAGAAGCAGAGGCAGGAGAGGTCAGATAGCTTGTCTCTGGTCACATGGCCAGAAAGGGGGAGTTCCAGGATTTAAAACCAGATCTTTGGGACTCCCGCTCATCCACGGCACACCCCCTGCCTGCATCTTGCTTTTGCCCTGGGTGCTCTGCTCTTACCTGAGTGGCCTCTTACGATGTTGAGTACCCCAGGCCAGGGACGATCATGAGCATGGCCTCCTTGTCCTCCAGGGTGTGGCTCAAGCACACAGTGGGTCTTCAATCTACCCTGCTGACCAGGGAGATGAGTCCTGGTATGAGGGAGATGACTCATGAAGCCAGGCTGGGTGAGGGCGTGTGCCTGTGTCCTGTGTGCATGTCTCTCTGCATGTGTCTGAGTGTGTGTCTCTGCATGTCTCTGTGTGTCTCTCTCTGTGTGTCTTTCTACATATCTCTGCGTGCATCTCTGTGTATGCACAGGGAAATGAAAATGTACTGTCTGCTGGAGGCTTCCTCTCTCCAAGCTCCTACCCCTCCTGGGGCTGCTCCTGAGTCTCAGCCTTCAAGGGGCCTCTGAGTCTGGGAAGTGGGGGTAGAGGAGGTCTTGGCCATCTCCCTCCCTAGCCTAATCCAAGGCCTTGTGGGGGTCACAGCCGATGTCAGTTTCATGGGAAGCCGGCTCCTCCCTGGCCCAAGAAGCAGCTCTTTGGGCATCTTCCACCAGTCTAGGCCCTGCTATTTTTAGATGCTGTCCCCTCCCCGACCCTCCCCTCCCTGCCACATACCAGCTGAGGGAGGAAGTGACTCACCTCAAGCCCAGACAGGTAGAGGCAGCCTCGGTGGGCCCCGGGCAGGCCTGGTTCCTGCGCTGGGGTTGCCTTCCCAGGACCACTTCAGAATGGCCTGCCCCATCCTGGAAACCATGCAGGGATAGAATGGATCCTGGGGCCTTTCTGGGCTCCTCCATTCTCCACCTCACAGGGCCTAGGCAGGCCCAGGCCTCTGAGGGGCTATGGAGCTTCTGCTCACCTCCTCAGCAGACCTCAGCAGGCCTCAGACTGTACTGTGGGGCTGTGGCCAGCCTCAGCCCAGTCTGAGGGGGTCAGACAGGCGGAGGGGACTGCCGGTGGTCCCACTCGTGAGCTTTGTGAAAGAACAGCCAGGGTTGTGGAAAGAAAAAAGGCCCAGTTCAGTGGGGGCAGGGATGGTGTGATGACCCTGGGGATGTGTGTCCCCGTGGAGTGCCCAGCTGTCCCAGTATGTCCAGATCTGAGGGGTTTCTGGGGACTTCCAGTGCTCACCAGGAAGAGTCCTGGGCAAGTCAGGATGGCTGACCACCCTGGTGCTGCATCACAAGGTGTATCCTAGCCAGAGCGCAGGTGTTGGGAGCTGGCTGTGGTTTCCTGATGGAGTCTCGCCTAGTCAGGGCCACAGGCCCCAGCCCCTGCCTGGCTTGCTGTCTGAGGTCAGGCATCCACCCTGTCTGCCTTGACTGGGGAGAGACTGAGTTGGGCTGTTGAGAAATATCAAGTTTATGAATATTGATGAATGCTGAGTGTATGATAGAATATATTGTTTGCTGGGAAGAATGATGGCAAGGAAAACCTAGCCGGCCCCCTCCCCAAGTGGAAAACCACTGAGAACATTCCAAAGTGGTAAAACAATGTATAAATATCATACACCAGTTAAAACAATTCTTTGAGCTATCTGCCCCTGCCCCTGGGGCTCCCTCGTGGAGAATACCTTTTAGTTTGTCTGTAGTCGGTGGTAAGCGGGAAACAGCTGCCTACTTGGAATATTTTTGAGTTATGAGAAAATACAGAACACCTGTTTGCTAATAATAATCACCTGTGCAGAGAGAATAACTATGTGGATCAGACTCTGCTCCCGGCCTTCAGCCTGGAATGCTGGCAGCCCCTGAGGCTCTCAGCTCCGTAGGCTGCTGGCCCCCTGGATAGACCCACTTAGCTGTTCTGTCTGGGTGTCTGCCTCTCATTGCCTTCAGCGCCGCCTGGGCGGGGGTCTCACCAGCCAAGCTGGTACTCAGTACTAGGCTGTATGAGAACCAAGAGCCTGAGGCTGGCTGGAAGACCCGTGAGCCACTTCCGCCAGGGAGGATAGGGGCCTGTCAACAGGGCTGGGTGGACAGGCTAGCAGAGGCTGGGGCTGGGGGAGGAAGGCAGCTATCCACCTAGGGCAGGGGCCAGGGAGGCACCCAGAAACAAGAAGAAATAATGATGGGTGCTCAGGCTGTGCCTCAGGGAAGCTTGGCCCCACGTCTGCGAACTGTCGGTACTTGCAAGGAGGAATTGGAGAGTGTGGCGGATGACTCTGGCAGGCTGGCAGGGCTTGGTGGTTTCTTGGAGAGGCCTTACCAGGGTGACGACCTGCAGAGCTCTTGGCTGCTCAGAGAAGTGGACAGAGGACTCTGCAGTCCTCCTTGATCAGCGTCTGGGGCTGCCTTCAGGGACAACCTGGCTCCTGGCCCTGAGGCCTGCCCTCTGGGGTTAGGTCAGGGGGGCTATGGCTGAGGCCCAGACCCCACCTCTGACCCACCTTTGTCCTTATCGCCCAGTGTTGGCTCTTTTTCCACAGCCCGGGTTGGGGTAGGGCCAGTTTTTGTCCCAGGCAGCAGCTCCGACACCGCTGGGCGACCTTGACAAGTCACTTCTCTTTCCTGGTCCTTGATTTCCTCAATGGTAACATTGTGGAGTTAGATTAGGTGTCTGGTTTTTAAATATTTACTTTAGCCGTGGAACCTCTTCAGTCACAATTCCACCTGCACTAAAGAGACCAGACAACAGCAGGTGACTGAGACGGGTGGCTGGAGCCCCAGGCGCCCCCCACACTCACCCACACCCCTGGGGGCCCAGGGCTCTGCGGACACAGTCTGAGAAGTTGTCTTCTCAGCCTGCCACTCTAACGCTGTGATGTATGCCTTTAGGACAAGCATGCTGTCCTTGTTGCCTTCTCCAGGCAGCCTGGTTATTAGACCCCAGGCCCAGCATGTTCTGGTACAGTCCTTTCCGTGCTGAAATCTTCCAATTCTTCATCGCTGGTTTCTGCTGACAGGGAGGTCTGTTATGCAGAGCGCACTGGGGCCACAGGTCCGTTGTCCCTTCTCAGGGAAGGGACAGGGCCAAAACCTTCTATGCAACGGCTAACCCTGTGGGCACTTCCAGGCGTGTGAAGGACATCAACATACTTCTCTCAGTCCCCAAGAGCCTGCGGGACAATGTGACTCTCACTGGCAGACAAGGAAGCGGCTCAGGGGTCTTAGGAGACTGGCCCTGATCCCTGCTGTGGTGCGCCTGGCCAGGAGCCCAAGTCCTTTCCTGGAGCCATAGTCTGGGGCCCTGGCCCAGGCCCAGGTTTTCCCTGGCTTACTCTGGGGTGTGCTGGCACCTGCAGACACCAGCCACAGAAAGAGGAGGCAGCAGTTGACGAGGGAGATGGAGAGGAAGGGAAATTTCCTTCTCCTGCTGGGGGTCTGGGGTGTCCTTTTCCTGGCTGAGGAGTAGGGTCACCCATTTCCCATCACCTTCTGTCCAGGGGCAGTAGGAGGAGGAGACGGCCGGGATTGCACAAACAGGTATGGGAGGAGGCCAGCAGCTGGGCAGGTGGCTGGGGTCACCCAAGGGCCTCGAGAGTCCCCAGTGCCCACACTGACATCAGCAGCATCTGGAGGGACTCAGTCGTCTTGCAGTCTTCTCTAGGTCTCACAGCAGGCACTGAGGGTTGGGAGGAGTCAGAGGCCCCTGCTCCCCACTCCCTGCGTCCCTCCCAGCTGCTGGGCTGGAAACTCGAGCCAAGTCAACAGTTCCTTGAATTGTGTTACAGCCCAGGCTGCCCCGCTCCAGAGCTAATAATATGGGCAGCTGTAGGGCATGAAACTCGATCCTCCAGGCTCCAATCCCACCCCACAGCGTGAACTCCGGGCTGGCAGGGAGTGGGCGGATGTTGGACCCAGAGTCCTGAAAGCAGAGGCCTGGGCTTGGGATCCTGGGGCAAGGCTGGGTCTGGCAGGGAACCCAGCCCCCCCCCACCTCCATGGGACATTTGTACAAAGTTGATCTGGGTCAGGCTAGCAGCACTGACACCTATAAACTTAGTAATGGCTGACAGGCTGACATCCTTAGTGACTGAACCAGTGAGGTCTGTGGGATGATGATGATAATTATAAGATTTTTTTTGTTTGTTTGTTTTGAGACGGAGTTTTGCTTATGTCGCCCAGGCTGGAGTGCAATGGCGCAATCTTGGCTCACTGCAACCTCCGCCTCCAGGGTTCAAGTGATTCTTCTGCCTCAGCCTCCCGAGTAGCTGGGATTAGAGGCATGCACCATGCCTCTAATTTTGTATTTTTAGTAGAGACACCTTTCACCATGTTGGTCAGGCTGGTCTTGAAGTCTTGACCTCAGGTGATCTGCCTGCCTCAGCCTCCCAAAGTGCTGGGATTACAGGCATGAGCCACCACACCCAGCCTGTAATAAGAGTTGATAAGTAAATAATACACATTAAAAGTGCGCCCTGGCCTAGCGTGTCCATGGCTGAGGCTGGAACTCCAATCTCTGGACTTTGTGCTCACTGCTTCTGTGTCAAGATGGGACCAGAGAGAGACTGAGGACCAAAGACATCCACAGAGCAGAAGCTCTGAGCACCTGCAGTGGCCTCACAAGGCCTGTCACTCACAGACTGAATGCCATGGACACACTTGCTGCCTGTGTGACACCTGCAGTGGTGGCCGTGGTGGTAGCTGGCTTGTTTGACATGTGGCTGGAAGCAAAATTAGGGCCCAGGATGCCACCTTCTGCACCCAGGCCATGGGCTGGCAGCTAGCAGGTGGCAGAGTCTGCCAGAGGCGACCCCAGGGCTTGTGGCCAGGGCAGCACTGGGGTGGCCAGGGACAGAACTGGGTCTGACTCCAAGAGTGGCTGGTGCTCTCTGTCACAGGCCTGAGCGCTGAAGAGAGCCTCCTCCTCTACCCCTTGGGGTGGTGACCTCTTCGGACAGGAGTCGGTGCTCCCCTCAAATGGCCACTGTGATTCTCATTTTGGCCCTTAGTATATTTGTCCTCCCACCAGGAGAGGAGACATGGGGACTTTTCCTCAGGACTCTGCTTCCCCCAGGAGGCAGGAAAAGGAAAAAGCCACCACCCAGTGCTCACCCCAACCCCATGAGACTGTTGGACTTCACCCATTGTCCAGCTGGGCACACATCGTGGCTGATGCCCTGGGTCTGAGCCCTCTAAGATCTAGGAGAAGCATCCCCCAGCGAGTGCGCCAGTTTATGGCTGCAAAGCAGCCCCCTAGGGTGACCCTGGGCAGAGGAGTAGGTGAGGCTGGGGACGCAGCAGAGGGACAATGCCTCAGTGCCAACGGTCCTTCCTTCTCTCAGCCTCTCATGGAGACCCCAGAGTGTGGTGCCCAGGCCCTGGGGCCACAGCCCTGAACCTCTTCTCCAGAGGGGAAGCCTTTACCTAAGAACTACACGAATATAGGCCGGGCGCGGTCCCAGCACTTTAGGAGGCTGAGGTGTGTGAATCACAAGGTCAGGAGATAGAGACCATCCTGGCTAACACAGTGAAACCCCATCTCTATTAAACACACCCACACATACACACACAAAATTAGCCAGGCGTGGTGGCAGGTGCCTGTAGTCCAAGCTACTCAGGAGGCTGAGGCAGGAGAATCGCTTGAACCTGGGAGGCGGAGGTTGTAGTGAGCCAAGATCGCACCATTGCACTCCAGCCTGTGCAACAGAATAAGACTCCGTCTTAAAAAAAAAAAAGAACTACACAAATATATAAATACCTCCAGAACAGGATGTAAGAGGCCCCGAAGGGCCAGAGTCAGGCTGGGAGGGTCCTGCAGTCGACCTGGGGCCAGGAGAAGGAGTGTACCAGGGCTGACTGGGCAGGGGAGGTTCTGGGCTTTCGGTGTGAGGGAATGAGGCTGGGCCTGGCCAAGCAACCCCCCTCCCTCTGGCCTCACCTTCCCCACCTGAAGGAGCCCGCTGCATGCTCCCACGCTGTCAGGCACCTGTCTCTGGGGCCTCCTCATCTGAGTCCCTCTGACAAGAACAATCCAGTCGAGGTAGTGGGATTGCCAGACGGAGTCCCCGCAGGCCCTGGCCTGAACCCTGCCTTGACTAGGACAGGCTCCAGTGGAGGAGCTGCCTCCCCAAGGAAAAATCTAGCCAGGCTGGGAGCAGCCCTGCCCTCCCTCCCTAGGGGCTTTGTTTAGACCAACTTGGCAGGAGGGTGGGGAAGGTGGACAAGATGTGGCAGGTCCTCCCCTCCTCCTCCTCAAGCAAAACCCAATTCTTGGGCTCTGGGCAGACTGGCCATGCAGTCCTAGAGAGCACCTCCCCTCCTGCCCCCTTGTCCTGCCTGAGCCCTGTACCTTTGTATCATGCCCAAGTGGCTGTGAAAGTAACAGGAGTTCTGGGCTCTGTCCTGGGGAAACATCTCCTTATACGGGTCTGGAGCAGGAGGGACAGTCCTGTCTGCCCTCCCCTGCATGGCCTTCTCTCAGCTTATAGAGTTAGTTGTAGCCTCCCTGAGGGCAGGCAGGCCACCAAGAAAGGCTCAGAAACACTTGCTGGGTGAATTACTGAGTGGACAGGTGCAGCCAATAGCGGAGAAGCTCAGGGTCTCTCGTTCATTCCTGGGAAAGTTCTCTGCCCAAGGCCACTGGGTGGGCCTGGCATGATGACAGGTAGAGACTGGGGGTCTCGCCCGGGCATTGCTACTGAATGCACTCATTTCTGCACTCTCTGGCCTCAGGGCCTCTGCTCACACTAGAGCACCCGTTCCACCCCCATCCCAGTGCTGCCTGCACCCACCTCCTTCACCAATGCTACTTCCTCTATCAAGAGTCTCTGGCTAGAGCCCTCACACCTGCCCCACTCCCAGGGTTTCTACTCAAGGGCAGTCCATGTCTCTGTCACCTTAGAGCTTTCACTGCCTGGATTGGGACTTGACACCATCAGTGCTCAGCTAATCTTTGTCCACTAAGAACAAATAAGAAACACCCAAATGGCACTCACCATGTACGAGGCACTGTCCTAAGTGTTTTAAATGTGGCAACCTGTTTACGCCTCACAACCACCCTATGAGGGAGGTGTTTCTATCACTCCCATTTTGCAGATGAAGACACTGAGGCAGAGGGCGGTCAAATGACACAGGAGAGCAAAAACTGGCTCCCTCCACCCTTCCAGGTTCTTTGGCTGTGCTGGGAATTAAATGGACAGATAAAGTGGTTAACAGGAGAAAAATAATATTTCATTATGTACGTAGGCCTGGGACCCCATGAAGTATAAGACTCCAAGAAGGATCACATCTTGAGCTACAGAAAAGGAACTGGGGTCCAGGATAAGCTTTGTACCTTAAAAGAAAAGGGGCTGGGGGCTTCTGGTGGGTAGTGGCAACACAAGTTTGGGAGGGTGAGGGGAGGAACTGTATGGTGAGCAAAGGTTGTCTCGTTATGCAGATAAAAAGTCTCTCAGGTCATAAAGGTTGTCAGAGCAGCCCCAAGAATAATAGGTGATTGCCAATGAGTTAATCTTCCCTGGTAGATAAGATGCCCCAGACGGGGTTCAGGACAACTTAGGCAGATGAGGGAACTTCAGAGAAAGCCCTTCCTATGGCTGGGGGTGGTGGCTCAGACCTGTAATCCCAACACTTCGGGAGCCTGAGGCAGGTGGATCACCTGGGGTCGGGAGTTCAAGACCAGCTGACCAACATAGAGAAACCCCATCTCTACTAAAAAAAAAAAAAAAAAAAAAATTAGCCAGACATGGTGGCATATCCCTGTAATCCCAGCTACTTGGGAGGCTGAGGCAAGAGAATCGCTTGATCCCAGGAGACAGAGGTTGCAGTGAGCTGAGATCACGCCATTGCACTCCAGCCTGGGCAACAAAAGCAAAACTCCGTCTCAAAAAAAAATAAATAAATAAAATGAAAAGCCCTTCCTGCCTTCCTGTTGCTCAGGTGCCCCGGTTTGAAGCATGATGCACACCAAAATGGCAGATTTTGGGGTGGCATTTCCTGAACTCCTTCAACAACACCCAAGGTCACCCAGTCAGTAAATGACAAAGATCCAGCCCCAACCCCTGATGCTGCGTTCTGGGGATGACGTTTCCTGGTGCAGCCAGGTGGATGTCTGTGTCACTGCCAGGAGAGATGCCTACTCGAATGGGCAGCTGCTCCCTAGGCCAAGCCCATCAGATGAAATGCCACCACCCTCAGCGTGACATCCCTGTCCACCCTCCTGGACTCAGGTCTTCTGCCCATTCTACCTGACACCAGCGGGTTTGATTTCTCTGAGTGCAGCAAATTTGGGCTCAGCAACTGTTTGCAGAATGACTTTACTACAGGGACCCCAGACACATACACTGTTTCTTCAAGTCCCTGGGTGTCCCTTTCCTCCCCCAAGCCTGTTTCCTGCTCTGGGAAATGGGCTGACTTACTCATGTCACATGGCGTTATGTCTGGTAGGGACTCTGGGTTGCTTCTGAATCATGTCAACGGTCTATTTACCTGATTCTTGGCACTGCTGTGTGCCTGCTCCAGACGCCAGGTGACTTTGTCTGGGCAACTTGGGGTGGGGATAAGGTTACAGGCAGGTCGGGTGTGTGCTCCTTGTCCCTGGAGCAGTTTTCTTTTCTGGACCTGGGAGCAGCAGGGGACAAGGCAATAAGTTGGTAGAGCTGAGGAGCTGGGACGGAGCAGTGGCGCCTTCTACCACCTGACAGTGGGTGGGGACACTTGCCAAAGCCTCTTTTTTGCTGCAGTCAGAGTGTGCATCCCACCTCTTCTGGCTTGTGGTGGAGCGGCATAGGGAGGGCAGGGGGATGAGGTGGGTGAATGGGGGGCACCCACAATGCCTCTGCCAGCCGCAGCTAACAAGTGGCAGCTTGCACACTAGGGCAGGCTGTGGTGACCCCGGGCAGGGCAGCCAATGAGCTCCCGGGGCACGGTGGCACCACCGGGCAGCCCGCCTGTCTTTGGCTGGCGCAGCCGCGGGAGGGGCCTGAGTCGGCCAGTCAGGGCTGCCGGGCCCTGTCTCTGGGAGGCCCGGGCAGATCTGCCGCTCCATTCATAGGAGCCCAACCCGACTCAGGCGGCCACATTTTTAACTTTCCAACCTCCTGGAGAGGAGGGCGGGCTGCAGGGGCGGTGTGGGGAGGACTCTGTAGCCAGAGATGGAAACAAACTCGTGACACTTTCCCAAGGCTCTGGCTCCCAAGTGGGCTTGAGCTCCAGGTTGGGGCCAGGAGATTCCAAATGCCCTGCGGGCACAAGGCAGGCCTGAGAGCGTGGGGGTATGTGGGAGGGGAGAAAGGAAAGGGTGATAGTCATGGCCAGATGCCCACCCAGGACTGGCATTGGGAACCCCAGGGACCCAGCCTGCTCAGGTCCTGCATCCCCCCAGCCACCTGAGCACCCCTCTGCCTGGATAGAGTTAGTTCTGGAACAGCAGATGACTTAAGTGGCTGTCAGTTGGGGCCAGGGGTCAGGGGAAATTCGGGCTCCTCATCAAGACCTCCTTGTGGCACGAGCTGTACAGTGTCAGTAGCAGCAGGGGCTTGTGCCCCGACACCCGCTCCCTTATGCTTCCCTGCTCAATGCAGACCCACCACGGCCAGTCACATAATAAACATATATTTATAGATGTACAATTTCAGAACTCTAATTCAAGAAATACGGCTTCCGGGGGATCCTTTAGGATCTATGTTCTTATTGCACATGGCTCAGCCCATCTAGGGACATTACCAAGACCAGACGGTTAGGGCGTTGTGGAAAGAGCACCAGGGCCACCATGGGTGGGCACTCTGGCCACATCAGTTCTTATCATCTCTCTCTGGGCTGAGGTGGCCGCTTCATTGCAGAGTGGGACTTGTTTAAAAACCAGATTTGACATTTCCTTACCAAACTTCCTTTCCCAGCAAGAATCCTATTTGTTGGGAGACTTTTAAAAAAAGAGCCAAGAGAAACTCTGGGAGGGGGGTTATCACCTCCTGGCTGGCAGCTTGGGGAAGTAAGGCTTTGGAATGCAGCGGGCTTGACACCCCCACTGCCACAGGAAAACTCAGGAAAACACGGTCATTCCAGAAGGCCCAGTAGAAACTGTGGGAATCAATCAAACTTCCCTCCTTCCCCTGGCAGCAAGTGCTGTTTTCAGCAAAATCCTCATCTGAAGGTGAGGGGAAGAAAACTATCCTGGTTCAGGTGTATCCTTTGCCCAAGGTGCAAGAGGAGGCCTAGTGGTCACATCCACGGCGGGTGAAGACAGAGGTGCCCACAGGCACTGACTGTTCTTCAGGAGTCGAAGAGGCTGCCCTGGGGTCCTGGCGCCACCGGCTGACTCGGAGGAAGAGCCTTCTGAAGTCCTTGGTGAGTGACTTAGGAAAAACCCAGTGGCAATGATGGAGCTGTGCCCTGTGGCACCTATAAGGCAAAGCCCACTGAGGGACTTAGGGGTGGGGAAGTGGTTAGGTAGATCCTGGCCCCCTCTGCAGGCTTTCTCTTCTGTGGGCAGGGGGCTGGAGGGCTCCTGGGCACCAGGACAAAGAACCCACCAGAGCTTAGAGGGGAGGGGTGGTCCCACCTGAGCAGGTCCTCATTGGGCCTCTACTGTGACTCAATATTGACCTGGCCCCTCCCTCCACAACCTGCTCCTCTCCAGCTTAACCAAAATCCTGAGGCCTTTTCTGGTTCACACTATCATAATTACTGCTGCCATCAAAACCAGGCTGGGGTTTCGGGGGGCTGTGAAAAGCTCTGATGCGACTCTCCTTACGCTGCCAGCTATAGCTAACGTCTAGCAAGATCACAGGGTGCCTTCCCCAAACAGGCCTCATTTCTAAAACATGGAAGAAATCAGCTAAACAACCAAATCCCTGCAGTTTAAAAGTAGACTATATATATATATCTTCATATATGTCTATTTACATATAAATAGATATATATACATATACACGCATCTATAAATTACATTTTATGGAGAGTTCTCTTTCTTCCTCCTCTCTATCCTTGGCCAGTACCTCTGGCTTCTCCTGAGAGGTGGCTGGTGGTGGCTCCTGGGAGAGACGAAAGGCAGCTGGGTGCCCCTCCCCCAGCCCTTCCCACTGATATCTGCTGCAAGTTTTACATTCTACTTTCGTTGCCATGGTTTCCGTATCCTAGGAGAGGGCCGCTGCGGAGCCTCTGCCAGCCCTGGGAGGGAGGGAAGCAGCCCCGTGGCAGGTTTTCTGTCTGTCCTAAGAGCTTTCTGCATTTACTGGGTGAGAGAGAGGGCAGCTGTGTAGCATTCGGCCTCCAATTCCTTTTTAATTTTGTTTCTTTGTATGTCTTTCCTTAAATATACAGTCCATCACCTTGGCTCAGTGCATGTCACCAAAAATTCTCCAGGGATTTCATAGTCTGGGGAGGAGAGCGGCAACAGTTAGCTTGGCAGTCACACGGCACCAGCTCCTCTAGCTTAAGCCACACAAGGAGCTCCCTCGCCACTGCACGGGGGCACCGTGCTGCCCGCTCGACCCCCACCCATCCCACCTGTGGTCTGCGCTCCTGCAGAGGCACAGAGGCACAAATGGCCTCTAGGCAGAGTTGGCCTCCGACCTAGGCCAGGAGGACATAGGCAAAGGAGTGGGTGGGCAGGGCACCCACATGGAGAAGAACCTTTACCGCTTCTGCCCACACTCCTCTGGGCTTGGCCCAAATGGCCTCCTGTGGCAAATGCTGGGAACAGAGCCCAGCACCCCTACTCACAGGGAGGCGGGAACCTGCTACCAGCAACTCTCATTTCTCCTCCACCCCTCCTGTGCTGAGCGGCTGCGTCTGATCCTGAACTCATGACCTTCTGTTCCCTTCCTCAGACCACAGGCGAGATGCCTGGGCAGGGCCGGATGCCTGCGGCTTCCAGGCTGCCAGGTGTGGCGGCATTTGAGAGAGTGCCTCAGATCCCACCAGAGGGGGTGGTCAGGGCCCTCGGCCCCTCCTGCCACCAAGACTGCCAGCTCCCACCCACCTCGTGGCTGCCCGTTCATCTTGCTCCATTTCCTTCTGGCTGGAGGGATGGAGGAAGAGGAAGGCTCTTGGCCTACCTGTTCCCACATGGTTCTTCCTAGTATCAGACAGGCAGTGTGCATATGGGGCTCTTTTGGGCCCCACAATATGTGGTGGCCTAAATACCAGGGCACAGACAGTAGTCTGCTGTGCTGGAGAAAGAGCCCGGTGACTGATGGCTGGAGTGGACTGAGAGGCCCTGGGCGGCCCTCAGCAACAGCTTTGGGTTCCCACTTTGCCTGGCTCTGGGGTCCCCCACACCCCCGGAGCCAGGGAGTAGAGTGGGGGAGTGGGGTGGAGAGCATTGCTAGAGGGCGGAAACCAACCTTGGTTTCCCAGCAGGCCCCAGGATTCTTTGCCACAGTCACCAGGCTTCCTCCCTTTCTCCCCCTCCCTCCTCTGCCTCATGACCAGGGCCAAAGCTGCCAGGAGTTGCAGGGTGGAGGCAGCCCTGGCTCATACTTGGACCTCGGTGGCGTGGCTGGCCCGGGACTATCCATGCAGGGAGGCCTGCACCTCTGACAGTCGGCTGCAGCTGGGGGTGCCCATCTTCTGTGCTTTGTGGTACATATCTGTGTCACCAAAGTAGCGAGCCCGGTACAGCAAGCCTTCCTCTGCAAAGCAATGGGACAGGATTAGCGCACACCCAGTGCCTCCCTAGGCCTGCGAGGAAGCGTTCGAGGGCTGTGGCGGTGGAGGAAGGCTGGTACATGCTCAGGGCTTGGGCAGGGCTCAGGGCTGGACTCCCATTAGGGAGACCCTGGAGGAGCAGAGACTACAGTCCTTACATGGGAGAGGGTGACAGAGGCACCTTTCTCTAGAATGCAGTGAGGCCACCCAATATGAGACCCTGTCATCCTGGTCAGGCCTCCTCAGCGTCCCACAGACAGATCCAGGAGCACAGTTGGGGATGGCCAGGGATCCATCTGCCCCAGTCTGTCTCTACACACTCACCTCTGGCAGCCAACATGACGGGCTGATGGCAGTGATTTATGGGAACCTGAGGCAACACCAGGTGGCCCCTGGCTCCCAGCCCCGGGGAAACACAGGAGTGGAGACCAGCTTTTGGCTGGGAGGTGGCTAGTGCAGGGCAATGCCAGGGGCCAGGCCCTCGGAGCTCAAGGTGAGCAGGGCTCTCCTTCCCCTGCTCTCCAGCTTTGCCCCAGTCACCTCCCAGATACAGCCTGGCATCCCCCCACACTCACTCTGCTGCTTCTCCTTCCAGCAGTTGTTCCGAAGGTTGGCAATGTAATCATCTTCCACATTCCGCTCCACTGTTTTGAGGCTAGAGCCTGTGTACTCCTCGGAGAAAGTGTCTCCCACATAGTAGACGACACTCAGGTGGTCAGTGACTCGCCTGTGGATGTGGCCGACAGACCTGGCCAGAAATATACCAGGTTCAAAGTGGGTGCAGGTCCCCATGCCCAGAGCACTCTAGGGGTGATGGACCCCATGACATGAGGTGCGGCACAGGCCACAGGAGTAGTTGGTTCCCTCCCAAACCAGAGAGGGACTTGCACACTCCCCGAAAGGAGGGTCTGAGGAAAGGGCAGTATCCCTCCACCCTCCACACACGTGACCCAGATTGAGGGGTGCTCTGCCTTTACACTCCCTGCTTACCACACAGTTGACCTGGGGCCTTTAAGGAGAGGACCTGGGAGGGAGTCTGGGCTCTACCTCAGTGCCTCCATTTCTCCATTCATCCCCTAAGCCAATTGTTGCTGAGGGCTTGCCTGCCTATCTAGGAGTTCCCAGTGTAGAATTAAGAGGCTTCGGAACAAAATGACAGGAAGGGCTCCAAGGAGCTGTATCCTCCCAGCTTCAGTCACAGGCTCTGCCGACTGTGGGAAGAGCCTCGACACCCAGAAAAGATCAGTGCTTTGGAGACAACAGCTCCTGCCCTAGCCCTCTGCTCCTCAAATTTCTCCAGCTGTAAGGAAAAGGGCTGGCATCTGACCACAGAGAGCCTGAGCAGGCGGCCAGGGTCCTGTGGACCGAGTCTGCCCCCTGCTGACTGAGAAGGCTCCTGCTAGCTCCTAGCCAGAGGCGGCTGCCTGTGGGGAGGGGGGCTCCACCGACTGAAGCTGAGCATCCAACTGTGTAGCTGAACCTGGGCCAAGTGTTGGACATCAATGAGGGGAGCTGACACCCTAACGGGGCACAAAACGTCCTCAAGTTCACTCCTGGCAGTCGAGACCAAGCATTCATTGAACAAATATTGTTGAGCATTTCTACTGGGCCAGACATTTTATATGCATTATTCATTAATTTCCACAGCAGGTGGATGTTATAATTCTCATTTTATAGATGAGGAAACCAAGGTTATATAACTTGTTTAGGGTCACACATCTTCTTAGTGGAGAAGCTGGGATTCTAAGCTGTGCCTGCTCTGTCTGACTCTAGTGTCCTGTTCTTTCCATAGCCTCAAGGAGCCCAGTCAGAACCGAGGAACGGAGGTTCTTTGTCAGGGTTGGCAGGGGAGATGGGTAGGAAGGAGTCACAAAGCTGCTGAAATCATATGCAAAATTCTGTGTGTACAGTATGTGCATATACATACATGTGTGTGCAGGCATGTGTATTATGTGTGTATATCTGTGTGCATGCACATGTGCGCACTGTTCTATGGAAAAGGTCCGTAGCTCTCACTGCATTTTCTTAGGGGACCATAATCCTAGAAAGCTTAAGAGTCCTAGTTCAATAGAGAAAGTATATTTTCTTGATTTGAAGCCAGGTTTCTGCATTATGATCGTGCACTGGCTGGATCAGGACAGTAAGGAATGCCCCTGATGGGATTGAGAATCCAAAGCCCCTGGTCTGCCCAGCCTTGCCCCTGTACTCACGGTCTTGGGCTCAGACTGTAGGGTGGACTGGAGACCATGAGCTGGCTGAGAGCTGACACGAGGATCAGGATGAGGATGGGCATCAGCTGCACAAACACCCCTAGCCCGCCCTGGAGGGAAGAGCCAATGTCACTCTGCTGGATCTGGGGGGGGTGTGGTGTCAGCCATAATCACCACCAGCTCCCCTAGAACAGTGAGCCTGGGGAGGCATGACACCACTCTGCCATTCCCTCCATGAGGCCCCAAAATACAGATGCTCCTTCACCACCTGCCAGCTTTCCCAGATAAAAGCAAAGCAGCAACTGGTGTAAAATACAGGAAGAAGTGAGGTGTCTGCATTGACTTTGAGAGAATGCCAAAAAAAAAAAAAAAAATCAGCAAAAGCTGCTTCCTCCAGGAGAATGGCAGGCTGAGCTGGAAGGAGACACATGGTATATATACCTTTTTCAAATTTGAACCACACAAATATATTACCGGTTTAAACATATGGCCAGTACACTGTCTCATGCCTGCAATCCCAACACTTTGGGAGACCAACGTGAGAGGACCACGTGAGGCCGAGTTCGAGACCAGTCTGGCCAACATAGAACCCCAACTCTACAAAAAATAATAATTGAAATAAAATAAAAGTTACCAATTAAAATTAGAAATAGCACTGTCTTAGATTGCAGAAAAAGTACACAAACATATAAGAATTAGAAATAAAAATTAACCAATTCATTCACTGTTAAAAACTCTTGTTATTATTTATTTATTTTGATTTTTATTTATTGAAAGCCTACAGCACCCAGTATTCCCAGGCAGTCTCCCATATTTTGAGACAGAGTCTTGCTCTGTCGCCAGGTGCCAGGCTGGAGTGCAATGGCGTGATCTCAGCTCTCTGCAACTTCTGCCTCCTGGGTTCAAGCAATTCTTCTGCCTCAGCCTCCTGAGTAGCTGGGACTACAGGCATGCACCACTACAGCCAGCTACTTTTTGTATTTTAGTAGAGACAGGGTTTCACTATGTTGACCAGGATGGTGTCATCTCTTGACCTTGTGATCTGCCCGCCTCTTGGCCTCCCAAAGTGCTGGGATTATAGGCATGAGCCACCACGCCCGGCCAAAAACTCTTCTGTTGTTAAATACAAAATAAAAAAAAATTTGACCAGGGGCAATGGCTCATGCCTATAATCCCATCACTGTGGGAGGCTGAGGCAGAAGGACCACTTGAGCCCAAGAATTTGAGACCAGCCAGGGCTCAAACAACAAAGTAAGACCCTATCTCCAGAAAAAATTAGCTGGGGGTGGTAGCATGGGCCTGTGTTCCCAGCTACTTGGGAGTCTGAGGTGGGAGCTTTGCCTGGGAGGGGAGGCTCTTGTACTCCAGCCAGTGTGACAGAGCAAGACCCTGTCTAAAAAACAAAAAAGGCCAGGCGCAGTGGCTCATGCCTATAATCCCAGCATTTGCGAGCCCTAGGTGGACAGATCACAAGGTCAGGAGTTCGAGACCAGCCTGGGCAACATCGTGAAACCCCATCTCTACTAAAAATACAAAAATTAGCTGGGCGTGGTAGTGCATGCTTGTAGTCCCAGCTGCTCAGAAGGCTGAGGCAGAATTGCTTGAACCCGGGAGGCAGAGGTTGCAGTGGGCCAAGACTATGCCACTGCACTCTGGTCTGGGTGACAGAGCGAGACTCTGTCAGGGAAAAAAAAAAAAAACTGAATAAACATTGTCAGAGCAAAAGGAAACCCCTTCTGCCTGCCAGAATTTAAAATGCTCTGCAATTGTCCACAATATTTTAATTTTAGCTAGCTAGCTATTCTTTGATCTGTGGCATACAAAACGTGTTTGAAGCATTGTCTATTTATAATTTTTACAAATATCTTTTTTTTGAGATGGAGTCTCACTCTGTTGCCCAGGCTGGAGTGCAGTGGCACGATCTTGGCTCACTGCAACCTCTGACTCCTGGGTCCAAGTGATTCTCATGCCTCAGCTTCCCAAGTACCTGGGATTACAGGCAGGTGCCACCACACCCGACTACTTTCTGTATTTTTAGTAGAGATGGGGTTTCACCATGTTGGCCGGGCTGATCTCAAACTCCTAACCTTAGGTGATCTGCCCACCTTGGCCTCCCAAATTTTTATAAATATCTTTTAAAAGCATCTTTTGGCCTTTTAGCAAAATGAGTCAGCACCCATGCTGTCATCCTTTAAAATTCTCTCACTGGCCATGGCTCATGCCTGTAATCCCAGCACTTTGGGAGGCTGAGGCAGGTGGATCACCTGAACTCAGGGGTTCGAGACCAGCCTGGCCAACATGGCAAAACCCCGTCTTGACTAAAAATAAAAAATTAGCTGGGTGTGGTGGCACGCATGTGCAACCCCAGCTACTTGGGAGGCTGAGGCAGGAGAACAGCTTGAATCCAGGAGGCAGAGGTTGCAGTGAGCCAAGATCACACCACCGCACTCCAGCCTGGGCGATGGAGCAGGACATGTCAAAAAATAACTTTTTCTCTCAAAAAAGTTGAGAGAAAATAGTTGAGACCCAAGAAAAAAATTAAAAATGAAATAAAATTCTCTCACGAAGTGTAACTTTCCATTGCTTAGAAGATGTCACTTTGGTCATACCAGAGAGCAGGTTGCATGGGAGCCTCACGCTCAAAACTGGCTACAGGCATTCCACTCCCCAGCCAGGCCAGCAAAACTGCGCTCCTGCGGGTAATGCGGAGCACGGTGCCCTCGTGTGGCGCCCCCTGGTGTCACTCGGCAGAATAGCAAGTGAGGCCCAGAGGGCTCCTTGGCTGAGAGTTGTGGCAACTCTGAGGGTCCCAGTATGGACAGTGTGGGAGGAAACTCTGCTCCAGATCCCCTCCCCAGGCTGTCCCCGATGCCTTTCTCACTCACATCACCCTGGTTCTCCCTGCGATCCTGCCTTTGCTGGTAGGTATAGCGCATGCGGCCGTTGCTGTAGACGTGGACGTTACCTGGGGGTCAGAGGGGCTGAGTCAGGAGCCGGGCTGTTGGGAAAGGGAGAGGCTGGCATGCCATCCCCACCATCACCCCAGGGATACCTGGCTGTGGGGAGGGTGGGGAACTTACTAGAAGGGAAGCCACCGCCAAAGAACATGTTGAAGAGGTCTTCTGGGGAGATGTCAGCCTCAAAGCCTCGGTGGAAATCCCCGTGCCCGTGGCCGTGCCGGGCCGCCTGGCTCTTGTCATCGCCAAACTGGTCATACTGCTTCCTCTTCTCTGGGTTGCTGAGTACCGCATATGCTGTGCCGATGGCTGGAGAGGAGGGGGAAGGTCAGGCCTGAGGATGCTGGGTGTGGGTGGAGGCTCCTATGGCAGCCGAGTGCTCACTTTTTTCAGGTACTCAAGCAGTCCTTTAGGGAGCAGAAGTCCTTGGGGCTGGCAGGAAGCTTGGCCAATGTGGGGAGGGGCACTCAGGAAGCTCCCTCCGTGGATCTGGGCAGCCTGGCTGGGTGGAGGGTAACACAGGCTCCTTGCTCTCCTCAAGGAATTGATCAATGTGCCAGGCCCCCTAGGGGCATTGCCTCATTTACTTTTTTTTTTTTTGAGAAGGAGTTTCGCTCTTGTTATCCAGGCTGGAGTGCAAAGGCACGATCTCGGCTCACCGCAACCTCTGCCTCCTGGGTTTAGGCAATTCTCCTGCCTCAGCCTCCTGAGTAGCTGGGATTACAGGCACGTGCCACCATACCCAGCTAATATTTTGTATTTTTAGTAGAGATGGGGCTTCACCATGTTGACCAGGATGGTCTCGATCTCTTGACCTCGTGATCCACCTGCCTCGGCCTCCCAAAGTGCTGGGATTACAGGTCTGAGCCACTGTGTACAACCCCATTTACTTCTTTATCTGTTTTTTAATTTTATTTTTTGAGGCAGGACCTCACTCTGTCACCCAAGCTGAGTGCACTGGAGCAATTGCGGCCCACTGCAGTCTCAACTTCCTTTGCTCAAGCGACCCTTCCACCTCAGCCTCCTGAGTAGCTGGGAATGAAGGCGTGCACCACCACGCCCAGCTAATTTTTGTATATTTTATAGAGACAAGGTCTTGCCATGCTGCCCAGACTGGTCTCGAACTCCTGGGGCTCAAGGGATCCTCCCACCTCGGCCTCCCAAAGTGCTGGGATTACAGACATAGGCCACCGCATCCGGTCAACCCATTTGTCTTTAAGAGCCACCCTATCTCCATTTCACCAATGAGAAAACAGGCTCAGAAGAGAAGTCACTGCCTATGCTCACACAGCTTTGATATTATAGAGCTGGGAGTCAAACAAAGGCCAGCTGTCTCTTGCTTCAAGTTCTCTCTCTGACTTCATAAAAACCACCAAAACCTCTTTCCTCATTCCTCTCTTGAGGTGTCCAGTGGGATGGGCATCCCTTTCTGAAGGTTCTGTAAACCTGAAGTCATAGTCTGACATGCAGGCCAGACAGACACCCAATATCCTTATTGTGAACTGGAAGGCAGCAGGAACTGCGGGGAAGGGCCAAATCCCGGGGCTCTATGGAGACTCCTCCACTCTGGTGATGTGGCTGGGGTGAGGCCCTACTCCCTGAGGTCCAGGCCCCAGCTGCCGTTTCCTACCTGGTCCTGGAACCTCCCACCAGAGCTCCTTGGCTGGGAAGCCTGTGACCTGAAGGACCCCCAGCTCTGACCTCCTCAGTCTCTTATTCCCTCTCCTCAAGCTGCCTCTCTCTCTGAGGAGTAGGTCCAAGCCACATCTGATTCACATCCTGAAATCCCTGGGAATAAGGAGGACGAAATCCTCTCCTTCACCTTTTCTGACCAGGCCTCAAGGCCAGAGCTGGCCTCTCGGTACAGTCGGAGCAGGCTGCAGGCAGAGTTTGGGGCTGAAGAAACATTCACCAGGGCTACCTTGCTGTACCCCCACTTTCACTCTCCTACCCCTCAGGGGCCCCTGGGACACAGCACACTAAGTCTCGGGGTCTGGGCTGCCACAGGCTCTCCAGCTGGCTACGGTTGTGGGCACAGCACAGCATGCACCGCCCCACCCCGCCCCGGGCTGGGGGGCTAGTCACCCTGTTATTTCCCAAGGAGATGGATGAAGTGGGAATGAGAGAAGGAAGGATATGGTGGGAATGAGAGAAGACAATGATATTTGGGGCAATGAGAAATTGCAGTGCAGAGTCAGTACACATTTGTGCCTGACAGGTTAAATGAAAATGTAATGAATAGGTCAGACATGGTGGCTCATGCCTGTAATCCCAGCACTTTGGGAGGCTGAGGTGGGAGGAGCATTTGAGGTCAGGAGTTCAAGACCAGACTGATCAACATGGTGAAACCCTGTCTCTACAAAAAATACATAAAAATTAGCCAGATGTGGTGCATGCCTGTAGTCTCAGCTACTTGGGAGGCTGAGGCAGGATAATTGCTTGAACCTAGGAGGCAGAGTATGGAGTGAGCTAAGATACCACCACTATACTCCAGCCTGGGCAACAGAGCAAGACTGTCTCAAAAAAAAAAAGTAATGAATAAAGGGCAGCTTAAAATTTCAGCCAGAAATGAAGCATCCATCCCAGAGCCAGTGGGCCCTGAGGCCAATGACTGCCACATCCCCACTGCAGGCCCCAGGTGTATGGGTATGGCAGGGGAGCTGGCTGTGGCTACTGGTACTGAGGCGGCCACCATGCCTGAGGCCTCTGACCTGAGGCTACCCTGCCCCTCAGCAGCGAAACGGTTACCTGTGTAAAGTGAGCAGCTATAAGACTCCAAGACAGGGTAGAGTGCACACAGTAATTTACTCAATCACTGAAAATCCTTGGAGAAGCTACTAGAACTTTCTCGCCTTAGCTGCATTCCTGTAACCCCAGGAACTGCAGAGGGAGTGGGGGCAGGAGTGGCGCTATTTGAGCTCTGACAAACTCTACATAGCTATAGGTGGCTACTAGAACCTTTACCCCAGGAAGCAGCTCCCAAGCCTGGGCAAGTTGTGCCTGAGGCCACTTCCTCCTGCCCCCCACTTCCTGGGAAGGTTGTCATGGCCCCTTACTCCCTGCCAAGAACAGGAGATAAACTCACCAAAATGCCAGGACACCAGAGCCGGCTTACCTTTGAAAGCTTCAGTGGCGCCAGGCGCATGGTTCTTGTCTGGGTGGAATTTAAGGGCCAGTTTGCGGTAGGCCTTCTTCAAGTCCTCATCTGAGGCCCCTCTGCTCACTCCCAGGATCTCATAGTAATCTTTACATTGCTTGACCCTGGGGAGGGACGAGAGCATGGTAGGGGGGGTGCTCCACATGGGTCTGTGTGAGATGAGTGAGGAATAGGCCATGTGGGGCACACAGCTCTGAGCAGGCTGTGGGGACCAACCGGGCAAGGCTGATAGCTCCTTGGGTCAGCTGTGTGACCTCAGGGACACAGAAGTCACAGTGGGTGTCAAATGTGATACAGAGCTGGGAAGGCCCACGGGAAACAGCAGGAGCACTGTTTGCATTCCTGGATTTAGGAGGGGCAGCTGCTGGGTTCGCCAGGCCAGTATCTACCTCCCCCTGTTCTGCTAACAGCTTCCCCATGGGAGGGGCTCAGGAGGACTGTTGGTGTCCATCACCCAGGGCAGTGTCCCAAGATCAGCCAACCGACTCTCCTGGCGAGAAGTCTTTTTTTTTTTTTTAAGTTTTTAAAATTTTAGATATTTAAAGATAGAAACAGGGTCTTCTAATTGCCCAATCTCATCTCTTACTCCTGGGTTCAAGGGATCCTCCTGCCTCGGCCCCCCAGAGTGCTAGGATGACAGGCATGAGCTACCCTGCCTGCCCTAAGCTGAGTCTTGAGTGGGTAACATGAAAGCCAGAAATGGCAGGTGACTGTTCACCCCAAGCACATGGCCTAAAGAGACCCTGGTTCTCTTTTACCAATTCTTCCTCTCTATGCCCCTGGAGACCCTCCAGTTTTAGGGTGTTTCTAGGCCTTCCCAATCCCTCATGCATCAGTTTCTTTTGCCTACAATAGGCCTGGCTGGGTCAGAGAAGTGCAGATCTGGCCTATAATATTACAGCAAACAGCAGCCATGCTCAGTCTCACACAAGCAGCCCCCATCCTGAAGCTTGCCGGGAGCTGTGGGCATAACCCTGGGGGATGCCCAAGGCCAGCTGCTGGGAGGCCTGGAGAGAAATGGGAGCTGGGAACGTTTAAGCCTGAGAAGCCTTAGCTGGGTGGTCTCTGGCCTGGTAGTGAGCTGCTCCACATGGGGCCTGCTCACAGCCTAGGGGTGATAACTTTGCCTCAGGTTTCCATTCTACCCCACAGAGGCTCTGATCTAAAAGGGTCATTGTTGGGTGCTCAGGTGTGGACTGGGGTAGAATCTGGAGGGGGAGACCAGGCTCCACCTCTGTTGACAAACACAGCTGTGTAAAGAGGCCTGGGGCCTGCCTGGCCAGTGGCAGAGGAAGCCGGCAGTGTCAGCTTTTCCAGCCTCTGCTGTGGGTCATCTCGGTGGGAAGGATAGTGGAGCCCCGGTTCCCACACTGTATTCCTGGGCCTCGAGGGAAATAAGGAGAGGTCCTGGTGAGCCTGGGCACTTGGACCTTCTCCATCCGCCAAGACCCTCCCACAGCCTGGTGCAGCCCACAGGCAGATGGGAGGTAGAGGACGTGCTGTGGGAAGCCTCTAGACGTCCCCAGTCCCCCAGGCTCCGGCCCCTGCCCACCCGGCCCAGCTGTCTACCTTTTCACAGCTGCAACCTGTTCTGCAGTGTAGCCTTTGGTGCTCTCTCCTCCTCCAGCTTCACCGTTAGCCGAGGGGGCATCGGTCCCACCTGCTTTCCTGTGGGTGGCATGGGTTGTGTCTGTGGGTTGAGGTTGGTCACCGGCAGTCTGTGGTTTCTGGCTGAGGGACTCAATCAGGGCTGTGCAAGGCAAGGAAACCATTCAGGGCTCCTGCTCCAGCAGGCTGCATGCCTCGATGAGTGGCCCTGCTTCCTACCCGCTTCTCCTCCCAACAAAGCCACCAGCTCCTGCCCTGATTGGGCCTGTGGGTGCTGGTGGGACAGCCATCTGCTTGCTCTCTTGAAAGTCACAGTCCTTAAGAGCAGGCAGGATAGGCCAGGCTTGGTGGTTCACGCCTGTAATCCCAGCACTTTGGGATGTCAAGGCGGGCGGATCACCTCAGGTCAGCAGTTTGAGACCAGCCTGGCCAATATGGTGAAACCCCATCTCTATTAAAAAAAAAAATTAGCTGGGCATGATTTCAGGCGACTGTAATCTCAGGTACTCGAGAGACTCGAGAGGCTGAGGCAAGAGAACTGCTTGAACCTGGAAGGCAGAAGTAGTAGTGAACAAGACTGTGCCACTGTACTCCAGCTAAACTTAGGTAGAATTCTGATATTCTGATAGTCTTCAAAAAGCACATTTGATTTTATTAATAAACCCTGTATTACTTTATTTAGAGTACAATTTTTGTTTATTTCTTTGTTTGAGAACGATCTCACTTTATTGCCCAGGCTGGAGTGCAGTGGTGCGATCTCAGCTCACTGCAACCTCTGCCTCCCAGGTTCAAGCGATTCTCCTGCCTCAGCCTCTCAAGTAGCTGGGATTATGGGCACCCACCATGCCTGGCTAAACTTTTTTTTTTTTGACACAGAGTCTTGCTCTGTCACCCAGGCTGGAGTGCAGTGGCATGATCTTGGCTCACTGCAACCTCCGCCTCCTGGGTTCAAGCAATTATCCTGCTTCAGCCTCCCTTGCAGCTGGGATTACAGGCACCCACCACCATGCCCAGCTAATTTTTGTATTTTAGTAGAGATGGGGTTTTGCCATGTTGTCCAGGCTGGTCTCAAACTCCTGACTTCAAGCAATCCACCCACCTCAGTTCCCGAAGTGCTGGGATTATAGGTGTGAGCCACTGTGCCTGGCCTAATTTTTGTATTTTTAGTAGAGACAGGGTTTCACCATGTTGGCCAGGCTGATCTTGAATGCCTGACCTCAAGTGATCTGCCCGCCTCGGCTTCTCAAAGTGCTGAGATTACAGGTATGAGCCACAGTGCCCTGCAAGAATTCATTTACTACTACTTTACTTGCTATTTCTTTCAATGTGTTTGGTTTTACTCTGCTTTTCTTTTATGAATCCAACTTATGAATCCATTTCTTTTCTACTAAACTCATTCAAATCTACAAATACGTTTGCACTGTACCGCATTTTGAATAAGTAAAATATTCAGTCTACTGCACTATTTCTTATTTTCACCTTTTTTTTTCTTTTTTTTAGATGGAGTCTCACTCTGTAGCCCAGGCTGGAGTGCAGTGGCGCGATATCGGCTCACTGCAACCTCCGCCTCCCGGGCCCCAGTTCAAACACTTCCCCACTCTCAGCCTCCCAAGTATCTGGGATTACAGGCACAAGCCACCATGTCCAGCTACTTTTTGTATATTTTAGTAGACACGGGGTTTCAACTTGTTGGCCAGTTTGATCTTGAACTTCTGACCTCGTGATCCACCCGCCTCAGTCTCCCAGAGTGCTGGGATTACAGGCAGGAGCCACTGCAACCGGCCACCATTGGTTTTAAAAAGATTTTGTTTTGTTTTGTTTTGATACAACGTCTTGCCCTGTCGCCCAAGCTGGAGTGCAGTGGAGCGATCATGGTTCACTGCAACTTCTACCTCCCTGGCTCAAATCTTCGTATCTCAGCCTCCAAAGTAGATGAGACTATAGGCCTATGTATGTCACCATACCTGTTTAATCTTTATGTTTTTTTTTTTTTTTTTTTTTTTTCAGTAGAGACAAGGTCTTACTATGTTGCCCAGGCTGCTCTTGAACTCCTAAGCTCAAGTGATCCACACACCCTCAGCCTCCCAGAGTTCTGGGATTACAGGCATGAACCACCATGCCAGGCCTAAAAATGTTTTAATATTAAATCAATATCAGGGGATCACTCCTGTAATCCCAGAACTCTGGGAAGCTGAGGCGGATGGATCACCTGAGGTCAGGAGTTTGAAACCAGCCTGGCCAACATAGTAAAACCCCATCTCAAAAAACAAAAACCAAGGTATAACCCTTCAGATTTTTTTTTTTGAGACAGAGTTTAGTTCTTTTTGCCCAGGCTGGAGGGCAATGGGGTGATCTCAGCTCACTCCAACCTGCACCTCCCAGGTTCAAGCAATTCTCCTGCCTCAGCCTCCTGAATAGTCGGAATTACAGGCACATGCCACCACACCCAGCTAATTTTGTATTTTTAGTAGAGATAGGGTTTCACCATGTTAGCCAGGCTGGTCTTGAACTCCTGATCTCTGGTAATCTGCCCGCCTTGGCCTCCTAAAGTGCTGGGATTACAGGCGTGAGCCACTGTGCCCGGTCAACCCTTCAGATTTTTTTTTCTTTCATATGCAAGCCTACCTGATTGACAGATTTTTAAGATCTCAAAGCAGTGAGTTCAACAGACTTGGCATGTGGAGTGCCAAGATGGGCAAAGTACCCTGAGCACTGGGGACCCTGCATAGCAGGACCATCTGTTTCAGGTGGGATCAGTCAGGAAGGCTTCCTGGAGGCCTTTGCTTAGCTGTAAAGAGGAATGGGAGAAATGAGTTTGCCCAAGGCGGACAGGGATGGTATAAGACCAAAATAAGTATCTGCTGTGCTCATTACTTGCTATTTTTTACATTTTTCAAGTGGTTGGCCTGGTCAAATGTCCCCTTCAATGTTTGGAGTCCATATAGGACATTAACTGTCACCCTCAGGCAGCAGCATGGTTGTTTAAAACTAAGCCTGTGGTTCCAGCAGATTCAATGAGGAAGGGCCCAAGTCTCTGGCAGCAGATCCTTGTGTCCATTTATTCCAGGCACAAAACCAGTTCTCAAAAACCCCAGTCAGCCCTAGGCCCCAGTGCACTGGATAGTAAAATCCTAAAGCCTCTGACAAGCTGGGAAAACAGGCATCTGGACCACTGCAAGGACCCAGCATCCCTCTGTGCTGAGGCGGTATGGCAGCACATCCCAGAACAGTTCTCTGCTTCCTTCAAACACATCAAGTGTCTGCTGGCCTGAAGACACTGTGCTGGATGCCACACCCATCACTGCAATGCACTGGGGTCTGACCCAAGAGGCTGAGAGCCAGTCTCACTGGGAACAGAGTATGGGGCTCCAGGGGAGCACTGTTCCCTGGGCTGCTGCTATTGCACTGTGAGCTTGCATGAACTTGCTATCTTCAGTTGGGAAATCCAAACACAGAAGCTTACAGCCAGAGTTGCTCTGAATAAGGGAGGTGATGGGCTCCCGTGTCCAACCCTGAGAGGGTGCTTACGCAGGAGCAACAGCAACAATCATTTCTGTTACCCAGTGCTGTGTGTCAGGCGGGCACTTTCACAATGATCTGCGTGTATTAGCTCATTTAATTGTCACAGGAACCTTAGAAGGTAGGTCTTATTACCTACTCCACCCCACTGCAGGAAGAGGGCACTATGGCAGACTGCTGCCATGACCACACAGCTGGTTAGGAGACAGAGGTGCCTTCGAATCCCAGGATGTCCAGCTCCAGGGTCCATGCTCTTAACTATGCTGCTATCCTGGGCTGCACATGTCTGATGGGGTAGGGGTGGGAATCGGGCACAGGGATCCAAGCAAAAGCATAGAAGAGGCATTAAATTCAGAAAGACCCAGACTGAAACCTCAGCTTTGCCATTCCTAGCAGTGTGACCCTGGCTGATCTATGCAATCTCTCTGAACCTGGTTTCCTCACAATGGTGGTGGAGGATGAAATGAGGTAATGTGGGTAAGCACTTGGTGCAGAGCGGGTAAAGGTTCAAGGCTGATGAAGTGTCTGGCCATGGAAATGGGCTGGCCAGGGAGGTGAGAAGACCTGTAGTAGGGGGTGGGGAGGAGGAGGGCTGGGTAGTAGGGGAGCTCCGAGGCTTAGGAAGGCAAAGGCTCAGCGCTCAGCAGGCTCTTGACCCAGTAGTAACCATGAGATTTCAGGCCATCTCAGATACCAGGTCCATGCCAGTTACCAAGGGAATGGCAAGAGAAACCAACAGGTGAAGAGACACTAGTCAAGATGGGGCGGAGGAGGAGACAGTATGCTGGTTTCCTAGGACTTTTCAAAAAGCTGTTTATTTCGGTTCCTCTGGAAGCTCCAGTGGCCCAGGCTGAGCCTGATAGATCCTAAGGGCAAAATAACCAGTTATTCAGCTGTCAGAGGTGAGCAGCAGCACCAGCCAGGAGATGGGACAGGCTTTCTCTAGTACCTCTCAGGGAAGATTCTGGAAGCTTTTCAGGGCAGTTACAGGGAATCAGCCACTCTAATTTTCCTACAGTACAGAAAGAGAGTCCAAAGGAGAATGGAGGTGCTCTGGGTCACATGGAAGCCTTCTGCTTGAAGGTCTCTCTTGTGGTCTGGAGGATGTGACAGCTTCATGCTTACATACCTCATGGCACAGAGGCTGACAGGCAATGTCACAAAAGAAGACAGAATAGGTTAATGTTACTTTGGTTCTGTACCTTCTCAGTAAAGCTGGCAGACTTGGAAAAGGAAGGGAAATCGGTAGAAGAGAACAGAGCTGGGATGGAGAGGCGCTGAGGTAGAGCTGAGAGGATTTCTATGGCCAAAGCCACTGAATCCAGACTAGAGATTTCGACTTGCCCGGGCACAGTGGCTCACACCTGTAATCTCAGCACTTTGGGAGGCTGAGGCAGGAGGATGGATTGAGCCCAGGAGTTCGAGACCAGCCTGGGCAACATAGGAAGACCCTGTCTCTATACAAATAAAAAAAAAAATTAGCCAGGTGGGAGGATCACTTGGGCCCAAGAGATTGAGGCTGCAGTGAGCTGTGACTAAACCACCGCACTTCAGCCTGAGAAACAGAGTGAGACCCTGTCTCCAAAAAAAAAAAAAGGAAAAAGGTGAGACTGCCTGATGGGTTCAAACCTAGCTCTGCCACTTGCTAGAAGGGTCCTCTTGGACAAGGTAATCTGTGCTTATCTGTGCAAAACTCTATCTCCCTCATATAGGCTAAAAGAGGAAATGAGTGAATACTGGCCAAAAACTCAGCCCACTGCCCAGCAAATATACAGTGTTGTCTCTGTGACTTTGTTAGTAGGTAAGTAGCTGAGTTTCTGAGCTCTATGTACCTACAGTGCTCACAGTGAGTCACGAAAGGGCCTGGGATTGGAGATGGACAGTTCTGGGTCTTTGCCGGTTAGCCATGTAGCCTTGCCAGGTTATCTAGTTCCTTAGCGGAGACACAATCCCGACCCCTGCTCTCATAGGAGTTCTGAGGGGTAAAGAAGACTCTGTGAAATAGTGGATGGAAGGGCTGTGTACACAGTGGGACTTATGAAGGTTGACTAACTTGAAGGGAATGACCCCACCCCGGACCTCGCCAGCACCAGAACATCTCTCATTCCTGGACTTTGAATGTAGAATCCCTCAGCAACCCATTCTCCCTTTTTCTGTGGGCTGGCCTTCCCAACTTAGCCTGGACCCCGGAGCCAGTCATTTCACAGAACGTCTGGCAGCCTGAGCTGCAAGGAACCTCAGGATCATCCCAGCCAATGCTCTCTTTGTATGCTTGGGAAACTGAGGCCTACAAATGCTGTCATGAGCTCCCTGGGAAACCTGGCACCTTCCATATTTGTTACGAAGCCTTAGCCAAAGCCAATGGCTACCAGGCTTCCAGCTGCTGGATAGAAACTCCCAGAAAGGGACTGACTGGCTCCACCATCTCTAGTCTGTTACCTCCTGGCTTAGGGCCCAGATACTACTTTGCAGTTTAACTCAGTGCCTCCCTGTCCCACCTCCTGCAGCAGGAGTTTCAAGTCCCCTCACATCCTTTTCACTGAGAAGGCCAACAGTGTGAGGTCCCTCACCCTTTCAAGGTTGCTCTGAGCCTCCCCTCTCTCCTGACTCTCCCTTCTCTGCCCTTCCACCTATCCAAGACCATCCTCCACCCATGCTCTTGATCCTTCCCTTTTCACCTTACAACTTGTCCTTTTCCCATGCAGTGCCTGCGGCATCTGACAGTGCTGCTGGCCTCCTGCTGCCAAACCTCTCCATGGCTACCTGGCTGCTGCCCTCTCTGGGGACTGCCTCTTCTGTTGCTCCATCTCACTCTGTTGCTTCCTCTGTCTTTGCCTGTGGGCTCAGGGCAGGTGTTGGCTGCCATTGTGCCTGTAGCAACCTTCTCTCCATGGTCTTCACTTTCCCACAGTAGCGACCTCAACTCCCTCAGTCGCACACAACTCCCGTGATCTCCAGGGAACAGATACCAGACTTTTGTGGAACCTGGAGCGCCCTCCTGAGTTCCAGGCTCACAGCTCCTTTGGACTGTGTCCCACTGGCACCTCCCACTCTGCCCATCTCTTTCCATCGCAGTTCTTCAGCCTGGCTTCTTCCTGGTCACAGGGGCTTCCGTTCTGATTCTCGAGCATCCCATCTGACTCTCCTCCCACACCTCTCTTACACAGGCCTGGTGCCTCCTTTCCAGGGACCTTAGCCTTATCCATACTGCCCTGCCCCAGGCCCTCAGAATATCCAGCCTGCTCAAGGCAATTCTCTCCCACTGGCTTCCTGCCTTGAGTCTCTTCCCTCTCATTAACCCTCCATGCTGTTCTCTTTTAACAACAGTGCCCTTACCTTATTCCTGCTATCAAAAACCTCAATGGTTTCCTCACTAACCACAGAATAGAGTGAAAAGATCTTGGCTTGGTAGAGAAGGATTTCTATGACCTGGCCCCATTTAATTTTCCAACCTTAATCCTCTCTATATACAAATTACCACCTCCCCTGCCTCTAAATCTTGCTACACGTTGATCTCCTCCCTCAAACCCTACAACTTTCAGCTCCCATCTTCTCCCAATATGCCTTTCCTCAAGTCTCACACCTTCCTCCAAAGCACAGTTCAAATGCTACCTACCCCGTCGCCCCCAAAGCATTCCCTCGCTGTGAGATAACATTATTTTTATGCCCTTGCTACAGCACTCACTACACTGCTTATAATGTCCAGGAGACTGTCCTCCACAACCCCTCCCTGCCATTAGACTGTGAACCCATGGATGACAAGGAGTGATTTTTTTCATGCCCGCCCTTAAGTCCTCAGCATGTAACCCTGGACTTAATTTTTGTTTAATCACAGTTCTGCCTTGTAATATTTGTTTCTGTAAGTTTGTCCCTTTCACTAGATTAGAAGCTCTTTGGAGGTGAGGGATCACATTTTACCAATCTTGCTAGCACCAAGCAGAGGACTTTGGAAATAAAACAAAACATAAATGATCTTCAACAAAAGTCTGCTGCATTGAATGAGCATCTGCGATGGGCCCAAACCCAAAGCAATAGACAACCTCCTAATATATCTGTATCACTCCCCCTGGGGAGGTGGGGAGCCCACTGGGTAGCCCTCCCCTTTATTTTTGAAGTAAGAGCTTTCCCTGTCCCTGACCTAAACTTATCCCAGGTCCCTGTCAGCTCAGTGGAGCACTGCAGATAGTAAAGTTTACACAGATGCCTAAGGCATACAGTCTCACAAGTCTTTCCAGAAAAGCACAAATATGACATATATGCTGGCAGGTGACTTTGAGCAAATTCCAGTGCCTGAGCCCTAGAGAGGACACTCATCCATGCTCCTGAACTGATGCAGGAGCCTGCTGACAGGAAGATCCCCACAGGCCCTGTGGCCCATCCTTTCTTGGCTGCCTCCTCCGGAACCCGCAGCAGCATCAGAATCAGGCAGAATTCTGGCAGCTGGAGGGTCCATACCCCACCACAGAATACGATTTAATTAACAGGGAAGCTCCTTGAGCAGGTTACCTCAGGTATCCTGGCAAATACAGCCCGAAACCCTCTCCAAGGGGAGGCAAACAGGCCAAAGATCAACCTGCAAGAGTCAGAATGTAGGAAAGTTTGGGCAGTCCAGGCTACCTCCTCCACCAGCGTCTCATTTTCTCAATCTCATTGGGGGGCAGGGCCGGTTGGGAGGCTGACTGCTGCTCCTCAATTTCATTTTTCTTTCATAAACATTTACAGCGTCACAGAACTTTTCACTTCCTAGCTGTGTCATCTTGGGCATCCCTTTCCTCAGAGATGTTTCATCACCCATAGGGTAAAGATAATGATCTTTGCTCTGCCTCCCTGACTGGCAGGCTCAAGTGAGAAGGCACAGGCAAAGGAGCTTTCTAAACTGCAAAGCCCTGTGGGTATTATTGCCAATCACATTATCTGCGACAACCCTCTAATCTTCCCGAAGAGGAAACCCAAGCTCAGGAAGGTCACGTGGTAGCCGTCAGGATGAGACCCGGGCCTGCGGAGTGCCTGTTACTCCCAGTTTACTAAGTGGTGATCACAGGCACCACCCCGTGTCTTTCTCTCCTCCAGCTTGGATTAAGAAAAACTCCTTGGAAAACTTAGGTTAAAGAAAAAAGAAAGGGTTCCTGGGTGAAGCGAGGTGATCAGTAGGAAAGCCAGACTCACTCTTTGCTCCCTGGCTCGGGAGCCTCCTGTCCAGGGCCGCTCAGCAGCCTCAGCATCCAGATGGCCGGCCGCAGCTGGACAACTGCGGGCGATGGGAGGGCTGGGGCGGCTGAGGCCAGCACTTCCCACCAGACCACGCGCTCCTATCTCTTCACCCGGAGGAGTGAGGAGCCCGGCCCCAGGACACACCGTCCGAGGAGGCGGAGTGGAGTGGGTGCAAAGGCCGGCTCGCATTTTGGGAGGGTGGTCCCTGATCCTCAGCCCGAGAAATGAGAGGAAGTGAAGGCTCCTTTCCTGGGCCCCCGAAGACGGAAGTGTCTCCCTGTCTAGCGCCCATTCTCTCCCTCAGAAGAGTTATGTTTATTTTCCTGAACTATAATATTTCCCAGGCCCCCGACTGGCCTGGGCCACCGAACGGCCCCTTGGGAAAAGTAGTTCCAGTTCACTTCCAGGTAAGTTCCTTTCGCCCCGCCTGCCAGCGCGTTCCGTTCTCAGAGACCTCAAACCCCAGAGGGTTCCGCGAGCACCCCGAAAGCTGAAGTGCCGGCCTCCCAAGTCTCCAGGCTGTCCACAACCCGCAGAGGAGCGCGAAGGAAAGACTACGCCTCCCAGCAGCCACCACGCGCCTCAGTGCGCCGGCGTAGCCGCGCCTCGCCACCCCTCCCCCCGCCAACTGCTCCAGTCGGTCCGTTCCCGTATTCGCCCCATCAGTTCTAATGTTCCCAGTCTGTCCGGCACCTCACACTCACCGCGAACTCGCGGCGTCGGGTACAGCCGCTGTGCCTTCTCCAGGAAGCGGAGCGCCCGGTCGGGCTGGTTGCTCTGGATGGCCTTGAGGGCGATGCTGATACAGCGCTCGGCTTCATCCTTGTTGGATTCCATGGCGGAACCAGAGCGTGGAACCAGGGAGGGGGAGGCCGGGCGAGCGAAGAGCTGCGCCACCCGCCGGTGCGTCGCGGGAAGGCGGGCGCGTAGTGATGACATCCACCCTCCGCCCCTCCTTTCCTGAGATTTGAGCGAGGGTGGAAGCACTACCGTATGTCTTCTAAGAAAGGGACGGCTGGCTTAAGTGTCAAAAATGGTGCACGCCCATATTTCACGTTCCGAAGGTCTTAGAGTTGAGTATGCTTGCACGGTCTTGCTAGTAACTATATACGTTTAACACGAAGGTTTTTTTATTCACTGAACAGATATTGAGTGCCCACTGTTAGATATGGTTATATGATGGAATACAGTGGTGAACAAAACAAAGCCCCTGCTCTCATAGCGCTTACATTCCAGTGTGTGTAGGGTGTGGGGAGCCCTCCAGATATATTCAGATAGTGCTATACAAACTATGAAGAAAAATGATGGGAATAGAGAGTGGGGTGTTTTTTTGTTTGTTTGTTTGTTTTGAGATTGAGTCCCGCACTGTCGTCCAGGCTGGAGTGCAATGGCGCGATCTCGGCCAACTACAACCTCCAACTCCCGGGTTCAAGCGATTCTCTTGCCTCAGCCTCCCGAGTAGCTGGGATTACAGGTGACCGCCACAAAGCCGGCTATTTTTTTTTTTTTTTTTTTTTTTTTTTTAAGTAAAGACGGAGTTTCTCCATGTTGGCCAGGCTGGTCTCGAACTCCTGACCTCAGGTGATCTGCCCGCCTCGGCCTCCCAAAGTGCTGGGATTTCAGGCAACAGCTACCGTGCCTGGCCGGGAGGTACTATTTTAAATAGCCTGATAAAAGAAATCTCTCAGAAGCTGTCGTTAACAGGTACCAGAATTCAGGCGGTAGCAAGTAGATGTGCCTGTCTGGAGGAAGGGCAGTCAGGCCAAAGGAACAGCAAGCGCAGTCTCTGAAAAGGGAATTTTCATGGTGAGTTATAACAGGATCAAGAAGGCAAATACACTATAGGGAGCATAAAGATTCTACTACAGAGTGGAATCCAGTTTTATCAGGATCCCGTTCTTTGAGGACTACCATTCCAGTGAACACAATCTTGTGAAGGTTACCAGTGACCTCCACATTGCTAAATCCCCTAGTCATCTGTCAGTCCTTACATTGCTTGGCCTTTCAGGCAGGATTTGGTAAGAGGCTACTTCAGTAATCCAGATGAGAGTAGGGAAGCTACTATTATAACACAGGTGAAAATTAAGGGTAACTTGGATAAGGGTGATGGCGGAGGTGGTGAGTAGTAGTAAAAGTCTGGATATATTTTGAAGACAAAATGCGCAATGGATGTGGGATGTGAGAGAAAGAGGATTCAAGAATGATTCCAATGTTTTTGGCTTGATAACTGGAAGAGAATTTTCATTTACTAAAACAGGGAAATGGAAAAGACTATAAAAGGAGCAGTTTGGTGGCAGAATATTAAGTGTTTGATGCAGGGCATGTCAAGTTTGTGATGCTTTTTAGAATCAAGTAAAGATGTTGTACATATATAGGGTTTAGGCAAAAAGGAGCTGGAAATGTAATTTTGGGGCCAGGCACAGTGGCTCACTCCTGCAATCCTAACATTTTGGGAGGCCAGGGGTGGGAGGATCACTTGAGGCAAGGAGTTTGAGCCCAGCATGGGCAAAAGAGTGAGATCCCATCACTACAAAAAATAAAAAAATTAGCTGGGTGTGGTTGTACATGCCTGTAGTCCCAGCAACTTAGGAGGCTGAGGTGGGAGGATCGATTGAGCACAGGAGGTCAAGGCTGCAGTGAGCTGTGATGTGTGTACCAAAGAAGTGGGTGTAGATGGAGGAGAGCAGAAGTCTGATTACTGAGCCTCACAAAATCCCAACATTTAAAAATCTGGAAGAGGAGGAAAATCCGGGAAAGGAGAATGTGAAGAAGCAGGTTGTAAGGAAATGAATAGGCCTGGTGTGGTGGCTCATGCCTGTAATCCCAGCACTTAGGAAGGCTTAGGTGGGAGGCTCCCTTTAGCCCAAGAGTTCAACACCAGCCTGGGCAACATGAGACCCTCATTGCTACAAAAATTATTTTTAGGAAAAGAGGAAGGGAGGGGGTCAAACTTGTCATATCCTGTGGAGTGGCCAAGCAATGTGAGGACTGAGAAATGACCAATAGATTTGGCAGTGTGGAGGGCAGTGGGGACTTTGACAAAATTGCATTTTTCTGTTATATTTTTTGAGACAGAGTCTCTGTTACCCAGACTGGAGTGCAGTGGCACGGTTACGGCTCACTATACCCTCTACTTTTTGGGCTCAAGCAGTCCTCCCACCTCAGCCTCCTCAATAGCTGAGAATACAGTAGTGCTCCATCACGCATGGCTAGTTTATTTTTTATTTTTTAAGTTTTTTAGAGATAGGGTCTCACTATGTTGCCTATGCTGGTCTCAAACTTCTGGGTTCAAGTGATGCTCTCACCTCAGCCTCCCAAAATGCTGGGATTACAGGTGTGAGTCACTGTGCCTGACCATAAAACATAAAAAATTTAGTGTGTGGTAGGGGTGAAAACCCAACAGGAATGGATTCAAGAGAGTAAAGGTGGCTGGGCATGGTGGCTCATGCCTGTAATCTCAGCACTTTGGGAGGCCATGGTGGGCAGATCACAAGGTCAGGAGTTCAATACCAGCCTGGCCAATAGGGTGAAACCCCATCTCTACTAAAAATCCAAAAATTAGCTGGGTGTTGTGGCACGCACCTGTAGTCCCTGCTACTCAGGAGGCTGAAGCAGAAGAATTGCTTGAACCCATGAGGCAGAGGCTGCAGTGAGCCGAGATCGTGCCAGTGCACTCCAGCCTGGGCGACAGAGCGAGACTCATCTAAAAAAAAAATTCAAAAATTATCCAGGTGTGGTGGCATGCAACTGTAATCCCAGCTACCCAGGAGGATCATGAGCCTGGGACGTTGAGGCTGTAGGGGGCCATGGTTGCCCCACTGCACTCTAGCCTAGGTGCAGAGCCAGACCCTGTCTCAATAAATAAATACATACATAAGAAAGAAGCAAGGCCACAGCCTCCTCAGCTATACATGCTCCTTGGAAAATTCTTTCACATCCAACCTTCCTTTCTATTCCCATTTTTCCCTTTCCAATGCAAACCCTTATGATTCCATGCTGGCCTGTTACAGACCCTCCTTGATAACACAGCCCTACACTCGGAGAAATTTAAGTTCTGTACAGATTCATGGAATAATGCCGGGACCCTTTTCAAACAGCCTCTTTGAGGTTTGTTGACCTAGCATGACAATTTCCATCTTCCCCTCTCCTGCTAAGAATCATGAAGTTTACTTTTCCATTGTCTATCATGAGGCCTCTCTTCTCCAGCTGACTCTAAGGTACAGTCACGTGTCACTTAGTGACGGGGATATGTTCTGAGAAATGTGTTGTTAGGTGATTTCGTCACTGTGCAAACATCATAGTGTCCTTTTTTTTTTGGAGACAGTCTCGCTGTGTTGCCCAGGCTGGAGTGCAGTGGCACAAACTCGGCTCACTGCAACCTCTGCCTCCCATGTTCAAGCAATTCTGTCTCACCCTCCCAAGTAGCTGGGATTACAGGTGCATGCCTGGCTAATTTTTATATTTTTTTAGTAGAGATGGGGTTTCTACTAAAAACCCTGTCATGTTGACCAGGCTGGTCTTGAACTCTTGACCTCAGGTTATCTGTCTGCCTCAGCCTCCCAAAGTGCTGGGATTACAGGTGTGAGCCACCGTGCCTGGCCCACAGAGTGTCCTTATAGAAACCTAAGATGGCATAGCCTACTACACACGTAGGCTTTAAGATATGGCCTATTGCTCTGGGTTACAAACCTGCACAGAACATTACTGTACTGAATACTGTAGGCAATGGGAAGTATTTGTGTATCTAAACATAGAAAAGGTGCTATGACATGATGGCTATGAATGTCGCTAGGCAATAGGAATTTTTCAGCTCCATTATAATCTTATGGGACTGTCATATATGTTGCCTGTAGTTGACCAAAATGTTATTACGTGGTGCATGACTGTGCTTCAGTCTGTGAAGAAGGCACTCAGGGGAAAAGAAACTCTGTCGTTTTCTTGTGTTAAGGAACTGGGTTGTGGTTGGCCAACTCCTGGCGTGTGAGCCCTCCTCTCTTTTCCTGCAGTGCATATAAAATGACAAAGTCCTGTTTAAATTGTGGGTCAGTGCTTTGGCTTGGTTGGCAGGGTCTAGATCAGTGAGGATCTGGAGAAATGGGCTGAGTGTGCTTGTGGTAGGGGTCCTTTATGCCTTATTTTTGCATTATTCTCCTTGCCCTCCTCTGCTGCTGAGCGCGGTCCCTGAGCTGTTTCCTTTTGTTTTGTTTTTGAGACAGTCTTGCTATGTTGCTCAGGCTGAAGTGCAGGGGCGTGATCTCAGTTTACAGCAAGCTTTGCCTCCCAGGTTCAAACGATTCTTGTGCCTGGCTAATTTTTGTATTTATTTATTTTTGAGATGGAGTCTTGCTCTGTCACCCAGGCTGGAGTACAGTGGCATGATCTTTAGCTCACTGCAACCTCTGCCTCCTGGGTTCAAGGGATTCTCCTGCCTCAGCCTCCTGAGTAGCTGGGATTACAGGCACCTGCCACCACACCCAGCTACTTTTTGTATTTTTAGTAGAGACTGAGTTTCATCATGTTGGTCAGGCTGGTCTTGAACTCCTGACCTCAGGTGATCCACCCGCCTCAGCTTCCCAAAGTGCTGGGATTACAGGCATAAGCCACCGCACCCGGCCAAAACCCAGGTTTTTTAGGATATTCCCAAACCATATCTCCCCCTACACCCCTTTCCTCGGCACAGACCCTCCTCTCTACCGACCAGATAATTCCACTGGATGTCTCTTGGCACCTCAACAAGCCAAAAAAATGGCCTCATCATCTTCTACTTAAACTTGATTCTCTCCCAGTTTCCCAATCCCACTGAAGAGCACCACCATACATGCCATTACCCAGAAACCTGGGTTTCATTCTACATTATTCATTCTCCATCATCCTCCAATTGATTAACCTTATCCCTGCCCCTCAGTCCAAATCACTTGGACCTAAACAACTAAATCCTTTTTACCAGCTCTGCGGGCACTCCCCTAATCCAGACTTTCAGCATTTTATTTATCAAATTAAATTAATTAATTAATTATTTTAGAGAAGTTTTCCCTATGTTGGCCAGGCTGGTCTCAAACTCCTAACCTCAGTTGATCC